GAAGGGGGGGGCGCGAGGGAAACCCCTTCTTTCCCCCCCCCCCCCCCCCGAGGAGATTCGTAATAACGCCCTTTCATCCCTTCTTCGTCATAATCGACCGCATATTACACAAGGAACGGGGATCATCCCCTCCCGAAAGACCAAAGAGGATTCGTCTAATGCCCCTCTTATCTCGCTCGACCCGGCCTCGACTCTCCCGGAAAAAAAAAAAAAACAAAAAACAAAAAACCACAAATTCAAGCATTTACAAGCATTTACCAGTATTTACCAGTATTTACCTGCACGGAATATGACTGAAAAAACTCACATTTTCGATCGGAGACGACGTGAGGGGAGACCCTCGCTCTCGCTCGCCGGCGGAGGAACTAGACGCGTCACGAGCGACTGCTGGCCTCGCCGTGCCCTTCGACCAATCGGAGGCGTTCCCTCTCAAACATGGCGGCGGCCTTGGGGTGTCCCGGTCTTCGCCCGCTGGGTGAGTGCTGCATTAGCCTACGCTGTTTCTGGATTGAATTCGTGCCCCCTTTAGGAGCGCTTCACTCGATTGCAGGGAGGGACATGTCACGCGTGGTTACGTCTATCGCCTGATGAGGCGGAACGGCTGGGAATTTGTGCTTTCTCCGTTTCCAAGCGTAGGGGGTGGCACGAATTCAACCCGGGAACAGTGTTTTCGTTGTTAGGTATTAGTTATAGGCCTGGGCGGTTGCTGTCCTCTCGGTGCAACTCGATCATCGGAGGCGTTCGTCGTGACGTTAAGTGGATGTATATGTGACCGTAAATCTCAGAGGATCGTCTCATCGATTTTCCGTTGATCGTGGCAGAAGCTGGGGGCCGAGCATTCCGAGGGCTTGAGGGAGAAATTTCTCGGAGGAAGAACGGTTCCATTATGTCGATCTGTCAACTTGTCAGCCTGTCAACTCCTTCTCGAGAAGGGTTGCCGGCGGTGGTTTGTTTTTCTGGTTGCATCAGGAGGAGAAAACCGATGGCACGTGTCAAGCAAAATAGCAAAATTTCAGCTCCTCACTCCATTTTTTTATTCCAAAATTTTTGAAGCAGAAAGTGCAGCAACCCAAACTGATTTGCATTAGGATTGCAAGAAAGGGGTCGAGAAAGGCTTCATTTGTCATTTGCTCGGCTGTTCTTTCGCAACGTGAGTTCATTCGCTCATTCTGAAGCGGATTTTTCTTCTTTTTTTCACTTTATCAAGCTGCGAAGATAAATAGTTTCTTCAAACTGGGCCCATGACGATGCTCGTTAGACTGTTCGACCATGTCCATGAGGCCTAGAAACCGGAGCCTGAGGTTCGGATTGGTTGTGGGGCGGGATACGCTTGCGACGGAGTTCCCGCCTGGTATTCTCACTCTGTGCGCGCTAGATGTCGCGCGAGGGGGGTGGAGGTCGGAGCGGGACGAGGCGGAGCCGGGCGGGGCGGCTTTCGGCCCGTGCAGTGCTCTGATGCAGTGGAGTTTTCGAATCAGTGGATTCGCTACTTCTCCACCTATGCCAGCGCCGGTCCCGACAGAGAAGACCTTGAGACTCTGCGATACTCGGCCACGGACGAATCGATCGGTCGAGACGGGACAAAGCGGCCGGTGATCACAACTCCACTGTAAATCTTAGATGAAACTATGAAAGAAGGTCCACATTCCAAAACTTCATTTTCCTCTGCGTGCCAAACTCATCCTGATTTTGGCGACCACCAATTCGATTACCATGGAAACAAAAACGAGAGCCCTTGTCATCTGAAATATGGGCGAGATAGATGCCCACCTGCAGGCAAAGAAAAAAACAAGAAGAGGCCAGCTATGCATTAGAGCTCGGGTTGGAGACGAGGAGCCCGGCTGCATTAAGAGTAATTTTTTCAGTCCTTTGTGAAAATGACAGGAACGAAGAGAAATGAGTCATCTGATGGGGAGGCATCCATGTCCTCGGGCAGGCCAACCGAGGGCCTCGTCGACTGAGTTGACCTGCCTCGGGAGCTGCTGAACTTCCAGTGTTGCTGAATCGTCAAGCTGTGATGGCCCTATTTCGTCGTGGGAAAGTTGGAATTCTGTCCCGCCCCGAGACATTCGATGAAATTGAAATGGGGAATCAGATGCGTCGCCAATTTCACTTAGCGAGGAGAAGGGATTACGAGATGCAGCAAGTGATCGATTGATCGCTATCACCTGATTTAAAATTCTGGCAGCACTGACACTGTGCTTCATCCGGCGCCAAGTTGATGATGGTAGCCCGGCTACTGGCTAATTTATCACGCTCTGGAGAATGAAGTTGTCACCCTTTACCGGTTTCCAATGATCCCTAATGCTTGGGCAGCCTCTAGGCTCAAAGCAGACGAGGACTGGAACGCGTTCCCAGTCGATTCACTCGTGCTGCGTGGTCGCTTTCCTGGCGTATTCATCGGATGATCCAGTTGAGTGTCGTCAGCTCTCTCGCGGAGGTGGAGGCTGCGGTGAGGCCCGATTGGATGTCGTCTGCTTGCACCTGGAAAGGGAGAGCAGTCGATTCGTCGCTGGATTGGAACGGCTAGTAGGTAAGAGATCCTGATGAGGGTCTTAACTCGTTGTTTGGTCTTTCGTTGGTATTGTTTCGATCTGGCGTGGACTTTCTCACGAGGAAGCAGGGAATCTCTTGTAGACGACATTGGAAGTTCCCTTTCAGATTGACGCTTTGTGCAGTTTCGTCAGAGATCGTAGCTTCTCATACTTCAGGGCTCCAATTGGGCCTTGCTGAAAGTCAAAAGCAACTCCCGCGCCCGTCGGATAACCAAGCGATTCCACCTCTTTTCCGACCCTTCGGCTATGCCATCGGTGTATATGTCTTACACAAGGGGGGGAGAGTCGGATACCCGAAACGGGCCTTGTATTCTTCGAGGGGAACCTCGGCTTCGCCTCGGTCTCCCTCCTGGATTTTGGAAAGAACTCGTCCGCCTGCCGATCGGTGTGTAAGTGACCCGTTTCGGTTATCCGACTCTCCCCCCTCATGTAACCTATACATATAAGAGTATAATTTTCCGTAACTGCATTGAAAAAATAGGATTACCGCAGCTTTCTCAAGCAACAAATAAACCAGTGAGCAGAAACGTTTTCCACCCATTCCTGGAAATCTCCCAATCAGTGGGAAAACTCTAAAAGTTGCATCCCTGGACAGTGAAATTTCCAGGGAGCTACGTTACAAAAGAGCTATAGAAAATTAGCGCATGAAGAGCAGGCGGGAACGGAATAGGAGGTTTTCAAAATAAATATTAAAAAAATACAAAATAAAACGAGAATGCAGAAATATCCAGGAAGTTAGTTCTGGCGATGTAACAATAAAAAGCTACTAAATCTGATTTTATTCAAGTAGAAATTAATACCTACATATAGGGCACTCAATATGATAACCACATGGATCCTCCAGAACATCTGACGAGCTTCATGATACGGATAAAGTTCCCAAGTCCGGCAACCCTGCGTAAGACCGCCTGTTTCGACCGCAGTCACCACTTATAAGGCCGGCGTCAGAGTCAGCGCTGTTCAAGGTGAAGGTTCGGATAAGGTCGCCAGGAGGCATTTTTGCTCTATATGGTGTTTCTCGTCAAGGTCCAGCGTTCATTTAAAGTAAGATAGGCCTACCCCTTATAAAGATAGATATTTTTTACAGGAGTACATCCACCGAGGGCCTAGTTACTTTTCAGGAGCGCGACGCTTTCGGTAAAGGACAGTTTCTCGCTGCACGGTCGTATGGTATCGTCATCTACCAGATAGGTCTAAATCAGGTTTAAAATCGGCACCCTAGGCTGTAACGGTTGCAGTGGTCTGCATTCATTCTCGTGCGAAGTGTATAGTGAGTGCACTCACTTCGTACGAATTCGAATCGACTGTTCGTCCTTGTACTAAATCTTCAGAGACTCGTTCCGTAGTCACCACGGGTCTACTCTGCATCCCACCGTAGACCAGAGGTCTGCTGGTACTTGCATCTTCGAATAGCCCGTAAAATGCGACCTTGGAGATGTCGCATTTCTATTTATAAACATGAGATCTTCTTTTGATTTGCAAGCCAAAGTCGTGGATGCTTGAGTTGATGCAGTGTTATCTTTGGAGAGTTTCACTGCGTCAGCATAAGCTTGCCTTTCTGCGTCCCTCTGCTTTGACAGCGAGGATAATCTTTTTCCTTGACATGGGCAACCATTATTCAGCAGGATGAGATTCATCTCATTTCCTGGAGCGGAGCTCATTCAGGCAAATAGGATTTTAGCCGGCGCATTATGCAGCATATGAAACTGTTGGCGCCTTGGAGTCCACCGACATCTGGCAGATGTGTGGTAAAGTGACGTTCGGGTAAGGTCTACATCAGAGGGCGGGAAGATAGCGTTGCCATGGGAGAGGACCAATCGGGGGGAAGATCGGGCGAAGGGAGCCAATCAAATACAGATGCGATCGGTAACCCCCCTTTATTTCACAACATGGCTTCCTTAATGATGCCTGTGCTGTGACTGCGAATCCGTTGAGAGGGGACCAGACCGACCGGTCAGTTTCAACTTAGGGATCTGCTGAGGCTTGTTTGTTTGGTTGACCTTGACTGTTCAAGTGATTCGGGGAAATTTGCTTAATTTTGAAGCATTTCACTTATTGTTAGCTTAGTCCTAACGCCAAAGACTAATGTGGTCAGAAAGGCTGGACCAATGACGCGTTGAATCGATGGCTTACAGCCTTCCGTTAAGGGTAAGCCCTATTCGTTTGTTTTTCGGTCTGGATTATCCTGAATCCAGACTTCGCCATATGAACACTGTTTACATGTGTGATCAAGTTCCTGTTCTTTCCCATTCGCGCGAATTCTTCCCGCGTTTCGTACAGTCACCTTTGTTTACTAATGCCGAAAGCCCATGTGCAAGCAGTAAGCCTACGCCTGTTATGTCTGATATTTTGTGATTTTCTTGTTCGTCCCTCTTAGAGCAAACCATGGTCGGCCTTGAAGTAGCTCAATATATCCTCCTAGGAGATACTCTAATATACCAATGATGGGCTCCCTATGGGGTGGGGGTTCAGCCCAGCACTGCAGTTGCTAATGATGAACTGAATGAGGAACTGTTAATTCCTGCATTGTAAAGGTAAAAGATTTCCCTTTGTAAAAACTGTCCATCATATCTAATATTAACAATCATGAGAGTATAAACATTTTTGTTACTGCATCAACATGTTAGCTATGGCACTTCCTGATTTAGTCAATGAGAGCCTACCCTTTATTTGTGTGAATATATACTTTGTGATTCCACTGTAGACAAACCCTGCAGCATTAGAAAGCATTGATTCAATCTAGACTTAAATAATAGGATTATATGCAGACATTTTACTCCACTTTGTTTGAGCAAGATCCCCCTTCCAATGCCACATTGTCACTCAATGCATCTGAAATTTAAAATAGGGAGTCATGGCAATGAGGTGAAATAAATGTAAGTATTTCTAAATATTTCATAAATATTTAATGAAAATAAGGTGTTCATTCTTCATTCAACATGGTGCTTCCTTTCATATATATTGCCAGACCAAACTACCACAAGGGACCCTTTTGGACCTATTCCAAGAGGTCCTGGAAAAGTCTGGGGTTGGATAGCTATTTGGAATGTGCCCCTCTGCTTGTAATGTTTTAAATATATCTTAATAAAAGGAGTGAGATTCTCAAAACATGGGCTTATTAGGAGTCTTCAAATGTTTTTCAGGCAGTCCTTTGTGACCCATGAATTGCATGTTCCAAAATTTTTGGTACAGACTTTCTGACTCGAGGAAAAGTAGACTGCTCTCAGTATCTAGCTAGGCCAGGGCATCATCATGTGTTTATAAATCACCATGCATATAGCACAATACTAAGTATCACACTGCCTGGTGGCTTTGCTACCTCATTCTTAATCATTGCAACCCCAAGGATGGGAACCTGATTTAGTTTAAACTGTTTGTTAGGTTGAAAATTTGGCATTAGGGTTTCTTTTTCCTATTTCTTAATTTGTTGAGTATACTGTATTATCTTCTTTCATATGCAGCTGATCAACTCTTCAAGAACCATCAGTCGCTAGTCCAGAACTTTGTAACATGGCCAGCAAGTACAACCTGAAGTGGAACACCCACCACAGTGAAACATTTGGAAATTTTGATCTCTTGAGAAGTAGAGAGATGTTTGTGGACATTACCCTCTCATGTAGTGGACAGATGCTGAAGGCCCATAAGTTGGTCTTATGTTCTGGTAGTGCATTTTTTGAGAAGTTGTTACAAAGGGACAGCAGCAATTGTCCAATTGTCCATTTCCATGGAGTTGACATTCTTCATCTAAGGCTCTTGGTGGACTTCATGTACATGGGTGAAGTGGATGTGCCTTCAAGTGAATTAGAGCCATTCATATCTCTGGCTGATAGCCTGGAAGTGAAAGGTCTGAAAGGTGATAAGTCAAAAAGGTCTGATTTGGCCAGTGGTGCTTCTCTTTCTGCGACATCATCGTACATCAGGCCTCGATTAGGCCTAGATAGTTCTTCCTTCTCAAGGTCATCAGAATCGGGTAGTGGTGGGTCTGTGCCTGTGAAAAGACGAATCCCTCTAAGTGTTGAAAGTGAGCTTCGTGGTCCAAGTACACAGGATGCAGCTTCATCTGTCCCAGAGAAAAAAATTAAACCTGCAGACTCCAGGCTTATCACATCAGATATTCCAGAACAGGTGGGATATTTGTGTTTATGTTGCTAATAAACCATTAATTTCAGGAATTCCTTTATTTTGTTTAAACATGAAATGACTGTTTCAGGCTTCAGGCAGTAGCCAAGATATACCTGATTCAGGAATTAAAAAGGAACAAGATGATTCCAATAGTGGAGAAGCTGAAGTTGAGTCAGCACAGGTAGGTTTGCTTTGTTGTCCTGTCCCCATGAGTTGTGTCTCATCTTGCTCTTATAATTAGGCTTTTGCACAATTTGGCTACTTTAGGCAGCTGACCAGTCATATTGGGCTGGAGAAGAAGGTATGTCATCAGCTGATGGTGATGGAAGCAGCAGCTCATACCACCTTGAAGGTGGAGAGGATTTTGATCCCAGTGAACTACCTGCAAACATTCCTCCTGAAATTGCACCAGAGGTGAGTTGTGCCCTGATGCATGGTCCATTCTTGTTGAGAGTGGTCTCTCAAGAGATAATACAAAATATCGGTAATTATTCCTCTGCTCAGGTATTTCCACAGCAGCCATATTTCCTACAAATAACTGAATCTTGACTATCCCTAATTATTTAAAAAAAACTTGAATAAAGTTGTTTCATATGCAGTTTTCACATGTTAGAGTATTAGAATTTTCAAAACATCATTTATTAACCTATTATTAACCTATCAAGTATTATCTTAACAGAAACACCCAAGGGTAATATTTCAGACAAACCAAGGAAAAGCAGGATGAACATTTTTTTGTTCAGACTTTCAGTTTCAGAGAACCGTCCTCACAGGCTTATTTGGAGTTGCATTAGAATTTTTATACATACAAAGAATTAATGCTTCTCAGTTTCATTAATAGTTATGTTAAATAACTTTAAAGATTTATTATGCATATCCATGTGATGTGCAGCTTTATAAGTTAGTCAGGCATGGTAGATGATTATTAAGTCAGAAGACATTTTTAAAACATATTTAACGCTTTCTGGAAAAAGCAAGACAAGCGCATGAAGAGGTTCATGTGATAGTGTTTATATATGACAATCTCTAGTTAGCAATATGGAGATCTCATGTGTACATCCATGTGAAGCTGTGCATTATGACAGGTTTAACTGATGAGTGTGGTGACACAAGCTAAATTGATGATTTGTTGTGTTTTGCAAATATATTTTTGGTATATGCTCTGGTAAGTTAAGGGGTTTTCTTAAGCACCATCATGAGTAACAGTTTTTCTAAGATAAGGGCCACCTGCTGATTTTTTTAAATTGGCATTTGTTTATCATTCTGTTGTTCCCTTTAATTTGATGGATGGTGCTCCATTCTGTTCAGCATGCTGGACACAATTTATGATTACATTTTGGTTTTGTTTCTGTTGCACTCATTATTGAATGATATCCAATAGGGATGCACCAATACCAATCTGAAGTATTGGTATCGGCTGATACCTATATGGCCGATCCGATCCAATTCTCCCTTGCCACACGCCATACTTGATGCACAGCACATACATTTTGGGAACATCTCAAGAAAAAACCTCCACTCATAATGGCATACGGTTCCATAAGTCCGTCATAGTTCTTGTTAATCTCCAACTGATGGACAATGAGTTTGGGCATGGTTAAAGCGGAATGCAAGAAATTTGAGAAGGGCATTGTACAAATGGAATGGGCCAGAGTCATTCACATACACATTCATTCCTTTACTTTCCCCCATTCCATCCCGTCTCCTGACTTCCTGCGCTGACTGGTTTGCACGGCACACTTTGTGCTCATGTCCATCCCACCTCTGGCTCTCCCCTTGAGCACCGATCCCAGTTGTAGTTGCATCAACTCCTGAATCCCTTAAGGACATGAGACGTAGTTCCTCTCCTCTTTGCACCGATTGTCCTTTGTTTGTGGTACCTACGTCCGACGTATTCTCAGTTGGCCCAGTGAATGGCAGGGAAAATTTTGGCCTATACTGAAGAAGTTAATTTATTGGCCAACGTAAATGTCTCCAGAGCTAAATAAATTACAGGAAATTTTAATGTTGGGTGATTAGTGTCTGAGGGTTTTTTATTTCTTCCCTTCCATGCCAAAGGTAGTATAAGACCTACAAAGGTTTGATCCTGTATTGTGGTTTCACTTCTGACAGCCACTGGGAGATGTCTGTATCGGTATCGGTATTGGATCAGCTGATACCAAGACACTGAGATCGGTATTGGCTAATCCTGGATTGGTGCATCCCTAATATCCAACATGCTGGATGTATTGTTGAGGTTTTAGACTCCTCCATATTATATGGATGAGAATCTAAAATGACCACTTAGGGACATGCACCTATACTTAAAGTGAAGTTCTTGCAACAACTGAAGGTTACTCTGAAAGGTGAAATCTGATTATAGCCATTCATACATCAAGAGGTTTCCTGTCTCTCAATGCTGATATTGTCTGTGCCACTTTCTTCTTGGTGTCTTCTCTGGCATCAACTGTCTTCCATTAATGAGCATCTCAAATGTTTACATTCTCAACAAAGTCACCTGTATAAAAAGTATATAAATTATAGCACTTATATTTGGTCAACTTAATCCTATTTTCATAAGCTTAGAATGATGACCTGTCACATTTAAAAAGTTGGAAGATTGGCATAATTAGAGAAAAAGTTTCACATAGAATGTTACTTGGATGTACACCCTGCATATGAGATGTTAAAAATAGCAGGTGTATATTTATAGTTTTTGGCATTGAATAACTCTTGAGAGGCCACTGCATGCTATGATAATAAATACAAGAGCCCTCAAATCAATTCAAAATGTTTTGTTCTGAAACTGAATGAACAAAGGTGTCTGCTCTGAATGAAGTGGATTTATTTGCTGAATAAACCTTACGTATTATACATATGATATCATTTGTAATTGGCAGTGGTTATGCATGTGATGAGGTAAAGTGATGCAAGGGTTTTTCTTAATCACCTTTGGTGCTCCTAATTTGGGAAACAGTCAGGATTTGTTATGCAATCGCGGTGAGATATAGAATTCCCAAAGGTGTCCTGCTAGGGTATTCAGGAGAGGTTAAAGGGCAGGTTATTAACACTGTCAATGGAAAGAGAAAAGAAAAAAGTATAAGAAGGTAGAAATGTCAAGAAGAATTTACGGATATGTCAGGAAAAGCTATGTGTTGAGGAGGGACAAATGGGAGTGAGTGGTTGAAGATCTGTCTAATTTGCATGAGTTTTCCTACCACCTTGTAGTCCCCTCCTTTGGGAGATCTCCTTTCATGTCATTATTTCCTTTCTGTGGGTTTACAATGCTGCTCATTCATGTTCTCTGATTGAAGGCAGACCCAGGACTTGTTAAATTGCTTTCCCTGGAAGACTACAATATCATCTGAGTTTTAAATCACCCTGGGAAGGTACAGGAGCTGATTTATATCTCCGAGATGGTTCTCATCCTCACTGCTGTGAGCATGTGCTTCCATTGAATAGGTAATCTCAGAATATCAACCTTGGATCCATATATCTGGTCTGCTTCCATTAACATATGGAAGAGGAGTATTCAATCAGTGGTATGCCTGCATCTGTTGCAATGGTGTTGGTACCCTATAACTTCTGAGAACAACCATCCAAAGGTTCCCAAGACAGCAACTCTGTCCCTGGGGCTTCACCATTTATAGCTCTTCCACATTTTGAATGAGCTGTTCAGATTCTTTTTTCTAACTGCATGGGGTTTAATTTCAAATGGTCAAAGGGGAAAAGTTATTTTGTTTTCTTATATGAGGGTAAATGTTTTCTAATTCATGAAGGCAAAGAAAATGAATATGCCACTCAGGGAATTGATATGTCTGGGAATTAAGGTAGTTCAGTCCTTCCTTCCCTTTGGACTTCTGTATTTTGGGAGTGGTCAGGAATTGAGAATCCTGACCCCTATTCTAAGCACTAACCATTAGAGGGCTCCTGTATTTTGTAAAGATCTGATGCGCATGTTATTGTAGCCCATTAAAAACCTTTGGTTAAGGAGTGTTGCAAGAATCATCATTATCGTGTAATATCTGATGAATCCGCTCCATGGTATATCAGAAGTCTTGTATTACTTTCATTCTGGAGTACCTTTTAAACAATCTGTAAAAAAAAAACATAAACAGAACAAATATGATTGTCTTGAATTTTGGAAATATATGTGCCAACTCATTGCTTGACTTCACCTTGAAGGGAAGGTGGCCAAGGTTTTGGTTCCTGCATTGCCTGAGTCTGGTACAAAAGAATTGTCATTGACCCCTTGCCAACATCTTTGCTGATGCACTTTTCTTACTCACTAGGTGATTTCCTTTTAGCTCAATGCCATTTCATGGTTTGGGTTAGTAAGCATGTGTGAGAATCATTTAGAGTAGTAAGAATGTGCACTATCAGCCAAGATATTCTTGTGTCAGTCATTGACTATTTCTTGTCAACTCTGGGAATGTAAGAATCATAATGGATTGATTCTAAAAGTATTTTGTAATGAAAAGCTGAGGTGAATAAGTTATTCCTCATTGATTTATTAATTTCCAAGGTTTTCACCTTTCATTCAAATTTGTTTCCTTCATATCTGTCCATGATATATTCCAGAATGAAAGAATTAAATGCCATTTGAGATATGTCCTATATTGACAACAAATGTACAGTATATCCTACAAAAGCAGTCAGAATCAAGTAACACAGTAATGTCATATGTTGTTGGTGTTGTTTGGTATTGCGAAACACTGTTGTGGTAGATTATGAAATAATAAGTATTAAAAGAAATAGCTTGGTTGTAAAGTCATTTTTATGGAGTAGAAGCAGTGAGCACTAAAAATTGGTGGCACCATTAGACAGAGGAGAAATGGATTGTTCAATGAGGACCATATTCATTCAGCTGACACTTAAATCGCATTTTGACACCAATCTTGAGAGACTCATCAATTACCAGAAAGGGGGCTCTCATCTTCGTTTTTGCAGTTCCATACATCCTACCAAGTTGAGGATTTTCTTTGTTTAAAAGTTTTAAAATTTAAGTTATTCTTGAACTGTTTCATAGCAGATTTGAGAAGTTTGTACCTAGGTATGTATTTACAATCATATCCCTGCTTGTATAGGTATTTACATATAATTTTTTGCAATGCCAAGTATTGAAAAGTCTTTGATTCTTGCGAACCCTGCTCAGTCTGGATTACGCCATAGTGAATCCTTATCCAGAGTGTTCCAAATTCCTTTCTGAAGACTGAAAGACTCACACATATGAGTTAATCATGAAACACTGTTTACCTGGGGGTCCCTTTGGGCTGATCCACATCTCAGTTAAGGTGTGCATTAAATATTATAAGGCATTGTCTAGAATATCAAGAGAAGCTCTTTGCTGAAACTAACTTTTGACATTTATTTTGCTTAGACTTCTTATTGAAATGAATTCCAAACTTACTGAGGTTATATGGTACTTCAGAGTGACAGCTATGAAATCCTTTATGAGACAATTAACTTGGAAGATCCTTCAAATTTCAAGCAAAAAGTAAAGTTGTATATGTCTCATGCCATGTGGATGGGACAGATGTACAGGGCCATTCATTTCAGAATGAGAGGGTGGCACCTAGCTTTGGTGAGGGCTTTTGGTGGTAAGTATGGAGTATTATGTGTAAAGATTTGTTTTCTGCAAGAATATGGCTTCTATGACATGTTGATAATTTTTCAAGAATAATAGCAGTTCTTGTGAGGAAGCAGTATTATGTTTTATTTAAATTTCACAAAAATTATTAGTATTTGCTGCCACAGGTGTTTTTTACTAATAGCCAGGATCACAAACCAGCAATGTGAAAGCATGAAGCAATTCAATTTAATTATGGTACAAGAATGATTACATTATCTAGTTAAGGAAAGTTCTCAAGGGTGATTAGACATGATGGGGCAGAGAGAAAGCTTGGTTTTGGTAGTAATATTGAATTGTCTTGCCCCAAAGGAATGAATGCTGATTGCACCTGCCTGATTATTCAAAGATAAATCTGAGTAAGGCCAAGTCTTTGCTAATGGTGCTTTAGTTTGATGTTGTGAGAAGGTCTGCCAAAGCTAGTGTTCCTGATGAAATGGTCCTGTATATGTAACATAAGACTCTTCATGGGTTGGTGCTAAATAAATAATGTAGACTAAGTTTCACAGAGCTTGTATGGCATACAAATTCAAATTCCTGTATATATTTAATACCTATTGACAGTGGAAGCAGTAACAGTGGAAATGGCACCATTTCCTCTGCTGATGCATAATGGCATAAGAAATAGATTGTGATACTTCAATAATTGGGATTAGACTAACTCTTGGTCTAGGTCTACTTTATTTTGCCTCACTCTATATACAAACATCTGTAATCTCATAATGTGCTACACAAAACAAATCTCATCTCTGAAACCACCCAAGCTGTCAAAACTGATGACTGAGAGGGATCCTTCAAACTCACTCACAGTAAAATTTTGTATCTGTGATTGTGTGAATCATGGATAATGCCACTCTTTAAAATTGTATTTACACAGAAAGTGAAGCACCTTTTTTTTGCACATTGCTAAGTGATTGTTGCCAAGCTATGCTTATTAATAACCAGAACAGAATTCCTGAGGTTGCAGTGTTCTAGGGGTTCAGTTTTTTTTTTCATCTATTGATCATTCCTTTGAGTCAAAGTTGACTTCATTGGCAAGGGAATCCTTTTAGGAATGGGATATTGTGAAGTATACTCTAATAACTCATTTTGGTACTCTAGAGATAATATTTAGCAAATGTTGTTCAAGATGTCCTGGATTTTCTGGGGGGAAATTTCAGCTTGAAGAAGCAGTTCTCATTGGTTGAAAATGCCAACAGTTTCTCTGATTCTTTATCATTCGAGCCAGATTTTGACACAAATATTACCACTCTGCGGTGCTGGTAGACCCTGTCCAGAATAAAAGCAAACATGAATAACTCTACTTGTCAATGTTATGAGACGTATTTATCATCCTGAAGTATGCCTTAAATTTGCTGAAATTGGTAAGTGCAGTCCGATTTCAGTATACATGCATTAGAGTTAAGTACAGTGATTTTTACTTTGGTGGGGTGCGACTTCAGTCAGAGTCCTTTCTTTGCCAGAGCTTGGAAATGGTCCAGGCAGGTGTTTGGCAAGGGACACTTGTCACCTCTGGGTGGAAGTGTCATTTCTGCTCGTTTTGTGGCTATAAGTCAGTGACCAAGCAATGTGTCGTGAACCATGTTAGAAGACACACAGGAGAAAAGCCCCATCACTGTGTTCTATGTGGAAAGGCCTTCGCTCAACTGGCCACGCTGAATAAGCACAGGGCTTCTCACCAAACTGCTCGTTTGTCACATTACTGAAGGTGCCACCTTTTGAGGATGTGGATGCTTTGCATACCATTTCTTGCTGTATCTTTTGATATGACTTTAGTGTGTGCTGCCATTTACATTCAAGACTGTGCCTGTGAGTCTGTTTTGTGGTGCACAGGTTGCACATCAAAATGAATTTTTATTCATTGTATTTAAGTTGAAACCATGACTTTGGTTCATAATCATCTGACCTCCAAGGAAATGTTTAAGATGTTTTGGGTTCAATCATTACCTGTTCCTGGTGGTTAACCAGTCAAGGAGTATTCCAGGTGTTTTCTTGGCAAATTTGAATTTTTGTCCCATGGATGTAGTTTGCTTCTATTAGCTTCATATGGAACTGTGTATTCATCTGTACACCCTCTTGTAAAGTGTGCATTGACTGTGTTCATGAGTAGTGTTCCTTTAGCATAAAAATGGGTGTGTCCATATGCAACTAGAATTTTTTATGCATTGCTGAGAGGTTCATATGGTTTTTTTTTTTACCTGGGTATACAATTCTTTTTTATATATTTATTTTCCTTTGATATTTATCAAGCCAGTACTCTTTTTGACTAAAGTGACTTGAGTGTAAAGCAACAACTGCTAAAGAAGATATTTGCCTCATATGACTTGGTTTTATGACATGGCCTATGTCTCCCCATTTTTTTTGGTTACACATTGGTGGTCTCAGGGAATGACTTCCTTTGAAGAAAGCCTATTCTCTTCTGATAAAAAATTAGACATAACTTCTTTGCAGTTAATGATAACAAATTTGACTAACTCAGTGATACAGGTACTTCCTTTTAGGTACATGTGATCATGTGTATCAAATCCAAAACTCTTCATCCAGACAAGGTGTGGTATTGGCTAGGGCAGGTGGTAACCTGTACTATGGTCACATGCAAATTTAATGCACGTACTTGTCTTGTCAGAGAGGATTTTATCTGCAAAAGTCACTTCATGATGTAAGGTCATCCCATTCTCAGTTTTCAAGGTGTGAAGAGACAAAAGGCATTTACAAGCAGGAAGGCAAAAATCCTGTCACCCACTGATGACTATCAACCTTCTTATCTGCACTCAAACTCTCACATCTTAAGATTTACTACACCTCTGGTATGGAACATTTTAAAATTGAATTCTTGTTTTAACAAACTTAGTCTCAGAGCCATGTTCATGCCATATGAAGTCAGAAAGATTACTTTATACTTTAATTCTGTATAACAATATAATTATTCTTGGAACAAATTGGAAAAAAACAGCATGGAACCAAGCAAAAGCCAGAATATGCAACAACTAGGTAGAATGAAATGAAACAGAATGAAAAATATTCCCTTCCAAAACCCTCCTGGTGGGTATTGCCAAATCTGGTCGATATTGCACAGCAGCTGATTTGTGCTTGAACTGGCAAGGGTATTTCATTGTGATTTTTCTTCTGTTGGAGTCAAGTCTCAGTGCTGACCCTCATGGTTTCAAGGGTCTCATTTACCTTGAACAAGAGATTCAGCAAAATATTTATTTTTTAAGCTTGTGTGGGGTCAATGTTTCTCTATCAGTATTAATTAATTGCACAATCCATTGCTCACTTGATTCCTGAATACCACATGGAACTTGTTTTTCTTGCATCTCTGTGAGTGGCTTCCTATTGGTAGGACATGTGTGTGTTGCTATTTGTCTGCTTAACTTTCTACTGACCATACTGACCAAGAAGGCTTTGATATTGATTGAAGTGAGGAGAAGAAATGGACCAATGTTGAATTCATGTAACTCATCTCTGAGTAGGATGAAATTATTTTTGTTTAGTCAGTTGTGTTGAAATAGATGTGTACAGTCGACCCTCATATATGCCACCATAATTGGCATTGAGCACAATATGTATTTATCAGAAAGTAAAGCATTTTGTTGTAACTGATGAATAGAAATAACCTTCCAACAGTTTCAATGCAATGAGGCAAACACCTATAACTCTGTATCATCCATGTCTTTGCCAGACATTGATGAAGATTCAGCCTGGAGTCTGGAGTGGACTTTCGACCAGAACTGGCTTTGCAGCGTTTTTCTGCACTCTATGTGGTTACATCACACCATTCAAGTTCAACATGGTGACTCATTTTCGCAAACACACAGGAGAGAAGCCCTTCCGTTGCAGTTTCTGCAACTGGGCATTTGCTCACAAATCAAACCTAAGCACTCACCTTAGATCCCAACATAAAGCTCTGTAAGTGTGGTGTCATCCAAGAGCTTGCATTTCTCATTGGAAATGATTCCAAGACATGTGGATTTGTCTCTAACTTTACAAGAGATGTCTTGACTTGTGTTTGCCTACAGAAATTTTGAGATGATAGCCTTGAACTGGTTCATGGTATTTAGTTCATTTCTCTTATGAAGGGTGCAAGTTTCCTTTTTCATTTGTGCCTTTCCAAAGTTTCCACAATGATGCAATCCAGCTTACTGAACTTTAGCCAATGTTTTCAGTATCCAGACTGGGTTTCTCATCAAATGTTACATTGCTTCATGACTACATTTCATGAACCTAGATGAAAATTAATTTTTCCTATAGAAGACTCGCTGTGGCAAGACTCTATTGAATTTCCTTTCTCTAGACTTTGAAGTTGATTGAGCCTGGGATGTGGAGTAGGGCATTCCGTACAGGAGATAAAAAGTTTTTCAGGTGTGCTTCATGCTCATACCAGACCTTAAAAAGAGACCACATGGTCACTCATATCAGGAGACACATTGGCGAGAGGCCTTTCAGGTGTCCTGTTTGCCCATACTCAGTTGCTCACAAGTCCAACCTGAGATTGCACATCCTGAAAAAGCATCCTGCTGATTCAGCCCAGTTGTCATTCATAGACCTGTCTTGTAAGACGTTTTATCTTTTTTTTTCTCTGTAGAGTTATATGTATGACAAGCGACAGCATACCAAGGAGTTCCATGGCATCTTTTGACAGAGTTTCAAGATCCATTGGGGTGCTGTCTTGGCTGGAATATTTACCAGAGGAAGGAAAGGACTTCTTTTGTCCAAATGTCCCATTATTATGCTCCAGAGTTTTAACTTCACTTTCATAGGACTTTATATGATATATTGGTAAGAAACTTGTAAGTGTTATGTTAGAAGTCACTTTTTGATGGTTGCTGCAAGGTTCCCTGCAGTATTGTATGGCTTATACTCAATAAAAAATGTGGAAGGTATTGGCTTTTCTTCTATGGCAAATCATTCACTCCACATTGAAGAACAGTGCTGGGCAAGTTGTTTCCAAGTGTGAGCAGAAATCCATTGATTCCATAGAGAGAATATGAAACCTTGATAGAAGAAAGATTTTGATTTGATTTGAAGAGAAATAGGATCCGGATTTGTGCCATGTCTTTGGGATCGTGTTCCATAACATGCTGTGCACTTTTTCTACTGCCCTTTTTTCTGTTTGTCCAATTTTTCGTTTCATCAGTTAATCATGCACATTATTTCATAGGGTGTGGTATATATCAATTGCAAAATAGGTAGAATTTGGGAATTCACAAAGATTTTCATACTTTCATGAAATGGTCTGGCTTTTTCTTTGGCTGAATTTGGGATTTGACAGCTCCAAAATCAATTTTGGAAAAGGTCTTTGGTTTGAACCTAGGAATTTGTTCTCAGTTTGCTCATCACTGTTAGTGAAGCCTCATGCAAGCATTACTATGGTCACACTATAACAATAGATGGAGTACAATGTACAACATCATGATTCAACTTCACACTGATGAACACAGCCAATGCTCTTGCTGAGAGGGAGCTTGTATCAAACTGATGTGCATGCATATCATATATGCATGCATTGATCCTTTAAGAACCATGAAAGGTGATGCATTGCATACACATGTTTTGATATCTTTCATGGGCCCAAATTATTCTTTATTTGCTCACCATGGTCTTCTGCATCCATTTCATTTTCACTTGAGATTGACCAGCAATGGGCCATTTCTTTGCCAGAGTTTGAAGCAGATCCAGCCCCTCATCTGGCGAGGAGTTACTCAAGTTGGCTCTCCAATATTTCTATGTGGTATCTGTGGTCACACATCAAGTTTCAAGTTCAATTTGGCCGTGCACTTGCGGACTCATACAGGCGAGAAACCATATCAGTGCCGTTTTTGTGGCAGATCATTTGCACACAGGCCAAGCCTAAAGTCTCATGTAGCAAACAAACATGGTGTAATTGTTTAGTACACTTTGTATGTAATTGAGATGTTGCTTCTAAGATGTCAGTTGCCCAATTGACATGAATAGGCATGCATTGAACTTTGTAACTAAAATTTTGTAGTATTGCTGTCTGAGAATAAAGAATTGGTTCCTTGTTGAACTGGCATATATTTTACTCACTGAATGATACAGATTCATGAAACATGCATCTCATACATGGTTGCTTTATGAGTCCTGTACATTCAATCCCTATGGTGTATGAAACCTCTTCTGTAAATAAAGGAGTGATTCAATAAATATATTTGTTTGATGGCAAGCATTCTCCCACTCTCTTTGTCAGACGTTGACGAGGACCCGAGACGGACTGTGGACGGGGATGTCGATGGGGAGCATGGGAAAGCGTCTCTACCTGTGCTCTCTGTGCTCATACTTCTCAAACGTGAAGCATAACGTGGTGACGCACTTGAGAACACACACCGGCGAGAGACCATTCCAGTGTCGCATCTGTGCTCGCTCCTTTGCTCATAAGTCCAACCTGAAAGCACACCTCCTTTGTGTCCATTCATTTCACCCAAATATTCCATCAGTGCAGCTGAGTGAATGGATCAGGACTGTGAGCACCCTTCCATGAGGCTCCCTTTTTTGGGATGTTCCATGGGCCTCGATCGATTGCCAGTCAGTGTTTCCTGTCTTGGTCAGGGATTATCCTGATTCTTGGTCCATGGAACCAGCCTCAGTCTTTAGTATGCAATGTACAGTTTGAGTATACTGAACATCAGGCCTTAATAGCTTCTAATGCAGAGTGATGATTCACATTCTATTGTGGGAATGCATGTCTGCTATGAGCATGTGGTACTAGTATGCTTTGCACTTAATTAGTTTGGTGTGTACATCTTTAAGTATGACTGTGCCGGTTCTAACAAAACAAAGCTTTCTAATTAGTGATGGACTCTGGAAAACTCTTTTTGGAAAACTTTCCGTTACCAATGTAATGGCAATTACTCTTGGAAATTATAGACCAAAGATCTTGTATTGGTCATTTAATTAACACCAAACAATATTTAAGATGTTATACTGTTCTGATTGTAAAAGAAGCAAAGATTTCTATTGATAAATTTCAAGGACAACTCTTGGTCATATGTTTAGGAATCAGCTTTCAAAACTTTTTTCAATTTGGCCACATTAACATGTTCACCTAGTTACAAGTTACCAGTGTCTTGTGAGGACATGGATTTTTGGTGTAATTCAATGCACCACTGTCTTATACGGATGTGTACATTTGGGACAGGTCACGCAGTGCACGTACATGTCCTTACAAGACACTCTTGCCTCTTGGTATAGGTAAACCTGGTGTCTTTGAAATGAGACAACTTCCAGCTGGATAATCAAATTGGCATGTTCCATCCAAATAGGGCTATTTGCTCATATGAGCTGTATCAATTGTGAAACCAAGAAAATCCTCCTTTGCTTGCTTATTTGTGATGCTCTTTCAACTTACTGGCTAGGTGAACAATTCTGAGATCCAATCTTCAGATTAATTTGCAAGCTTTAGTTGAATATTTGAAATGCAAAATTTAGCTGGATACTTCAATTGCTAACTTGATAATTCTATGTTGTATACCCACCAAAGCTTACTCTGAACTTTATACTGATGATGCAATAAAGTATCTTATGTCTACAGAATGTTTCTTTCTATAAGCAGCTACTATAATACATCAATAATTCAAGAATTGTGTTAGTTCTGGTTGGTGCATTAGGATGAACTTTTTTTGGTGATGGCTTTATTCCAGACTGTACAAGTTATTGAACCAGGAGTATCAATGGGGATGCATCGTAATGGCCTGCGATTGTTTTTTTGTCATGCCTGCAACTATGTTACTCCGCGGAAGCAACATATGGGCTACCACATTCGCAAACATACTGGAGAGAAGCCCTACCAGTGCCGGATGTGTGGACGAGCCTTTACTCAAAAGGCTGGTGCAAGAACTCATCTCGTCAATGTTCATTCTATGGATCAGAGCATTCTGACCACATCACTCAATGACTGGATCCAAGAAGTGGGACATATCTCATGAATAAGCTACATTTTGTGGAGAAAGTGCTAAAGGCAGTGAATACTACTCCCAGGTATGAAAATAATGCTAAAAGGAGGTGGGCAGATTGCAGGATAGATTTGAAGAGGTTTCATTGTTCTTGAAAGGCTCTTGCATGTTTTGCATGTCTTCCTTGGGTAAGCCATTCAGGCTTATATTATTTCCTTCTCAGTTCTTGTGCATCCTGCAATATTCCTACCTTCAGTCTTTGATGCTTTTATTGTTGATGCCCATTGAAAGAGATATAATACAACTTTGTGATGTGTGCCGATTTGTCAAGCTGAACTTGCGTATTTGAAAGTTTGTGGAATAGAGCTCTTTATGAAGCATTTCATGAACTACTCATGATTATTACTGAACTTAGCATTGATACCTGCTTTTTTATTTATATATTGCTAATAAAAAAAAACCTGTGACAACACCTGTTTGTTCTTGGTATTGAATCTGATGATGTACTGCTTTGTACTTGTGCTGTAATTTCTTATTGGTTCATTTCTATTTCAGGCTAGGCATATAGTTTATGTGCTGGAAGTTCATTGGATCTCCATCTACAGTACCTAGTTTGTGCTCCTTAAACCAGTCATATATAGAGAATGAGAAAATTCTTCGTGCTCTGCTTCTTGTTTCCTCATGGGCTTCATGTTTCACACCAGGATTCAGATTTCTTAAACATTTTTTGACCATTTTCCTTAGCAGTCTTTGATAAAGCTGATGATTACTTAATTTATTCAGTCTGTTTTGGAGAGGATGTGCATCGATAGGAAATCTGTGTAATTATCATGCAACCACATATATAACCTTAAAAGTTGTGTTTTCTTTGGAACTGCAGTGCATTGTTGCCTAATTTACAGCCCTTCTTTGCATCTTGATCCTCTGGGTGTGGGATAGTTTTGAACTGATATTAGGAATTATTCTGTTTTCATTTATACTCTACCAAGCTGCTGTATTCTGAAGGCAGGTGATCTCTGCCAGGCTATCCCAGTAGAAGACATGCCATATGCAGACTCCGTGTGTATGCCATGCATATTGAGGTACAATTGTACCCCAAATGGAAAGTTTAGGCTCTGGCAAGGCACTCCTTGAATATGTGAACTGATTCCTCAACATAGTTTTTTTTTAGCTTGATCCTTGGCTGCTGCTGAATCTTGAACAGAAACTTTTCTACAGTGACTACAGGGAACAATTTATTAGGTTGAACATGTAACATCCAAAAATCAGTTGAATATAACAACTGGTTGTCCCCTTCATTTTCAGACTGTAGAGGTTGTAGAAGCAGGAGTATCTGCAGGATTTCATCGCAGTGGCATCAGGATGTTTATCTGTCATGACTGCAATTATATGACACCTCGAAGGCAGCACATGGGCTACCACAAACGCACGCACACGGATGAAAGACCCTTCTGTTGTCACATCTGTGGCCAGTCATTCCGGCGCAAAGAAACACTCATCAAGCACTTGACCAGAACTCATTGAATGTAGAGGGAAACAGCATTCAATGCTGTATCTTTGAAATCAAATGCTGAAATCTTTGTTGCAGACTCTGATTGAAGTGGATGCAGGGACATGGGAAGTGCCGAAACGGACACGCTCACGCACTGCAGGGACGCCCCGAAGTCGTGAGGAGGATCTTACTTGCAAAATTTGCGGGAAAACATTTGCTCGAAGAGACAATATGAGATTGCACGTGTTCCGTGTCCATGACATTTCTGAAAAGATTGCTGCATGGGCCCAGAAGAAAGCAAATGATTCAGCTCAACCCCCTGTCTGAAGCATTATTGGATTTGTTTGGCTTTACTGTTGTTCAGAGGGCTATAAATGTTTGAGAATGACTCATTAAAGGTGTGACTTATATGATCTAAGAAATGCATGGCATTCTCAGAATTTTTGGTGGGATTTCGATTAAATAAACAATACCACCGGTGGAAGATGGATGGGAGCCCATACCCTTTCCCATTTTAAGACATCAGTGTTTAATGCATCATTAGGCCATCCCAGTTTCAGAAATATTCACCTGGCACATCTGGATCCAGTATCTTGGTTTTGTCAATCTTCATGAAACGAAATTGACATCATGGGATGAAAGTATTCTTATTCCTTGTGTCCCATTATTGAGTGTTCTCATAATGGGTTGCCAGTTCATGGCTGGCTGGGAAACACTAAACATTCTCATTGGCTCATAATCAGACTCCATCTTGGGAGGAGTTTGGAAACTCACAGCAGAAAAATGTCAGAATACTCATAGGTGCTCATGAACTCAGAGTGCTGTTAAGCTTTACATAGCATGGGAAATGTGGTCTTGGAGTCTACTGTTTCACATCCAATCCATGTGGTCACGTTTCCAAATTCTGTTTATCCCTCACATTTTTGAAGACTGACTGCTCAATTTAATTGGGCTATTCTAGCCCTGGTTCTTTGGAGTCTATACTCAAGATGAGTGAAAACTGGACAAAGCAATGGCCACAGCCATATGATTTGGGCATAGCATTTGGAAACAAAAATGATGTATCAGCCTCAGATCAAATCCTGAATACCTGAACTACACATAAATGGAACCCTTTGTTGTACATCTCTGGCATTATGAGTGATTCCTGGATGACTGCTTTTCTGTGCATGTAGGAGAACATTGAGGGATTTCACTGTGTGATCATTTGAGTGAAACAGGATTTATTGCAAAGATGACAGATAAATATCACCTGAAGTGGAACTCCCACCATGAAGAAGCATTTGAGAATTTTCATCTCCTGCGGGATCGGGAGATCTTCACTGATGTCACCTTGTCATGCGAGGGTCAGATCATGAAAGCCCACCGGGTGATCCTCAGTGCTGGCAGTGCATATTTTGAGCGGACTCTCCCCCGAGACAGTTCACACACTCCTATTGTGTACTTCCATGGGATTCCTATGGCTAAGCTGCGGCTTGTGATTGAATTCATCTACTCTGGTGCCGTTGAGGTCCCAAGCCCTGATCTTGAGAAGTTTATTGAACTCTCTGAGTGCCTTGAAGTGAAAGGTCTTAAGTCGCGGCCTCGAAGCTCATCTAACCCATCAACTTCCCAAAGAACAGAGTCATCCTCAGGAAAGAGCAGCGCTTCAGCCTCTCCCCCTCCTGCAACCAAACATCAATCCACAACCTCTACTCAGTCAAGCCAGCCAGCCAAAAAGCTGAAGCTAGCACAGGATCTGTCAAAAGTGTGTTGCTATACCCATGAGTGTTTCTCAAAGGTATCCTCTTGTTTAGAGACATAGGATCATTCTTTGTCTTAATATTCTTAGGCTGAACCACAACCAGAGAAAAATGAAGAGACTGATTCCACAATTGCTGTGAATAATGTAAAGGATGAGCACAATGATGAAGTCTCACTTAAAGAAGAGGAAATTTTAGGAATGGGTGATGAGGTGAGTCATGACTGATTTCTTTGTCCCTTTTAATCCCTATGGACTTTCACAATTGAGTTTGGGGAGTTCTCTAGAAAAAGGGCATATGTGCAAAAGATGCAATTCGAGATAAACAATAAAAACTTCCCATAGCTAATCTGAAGCTGATCAAAACTTGTCAGTAAAATGGAATCTCATACATTTTTCAAAATGAACTTAAGGTTTAATGAATTTCTTCATCTCACATTGCTGGGATGCAGGCAGAAAGTATTTATGCACATACACCCTTTTTCCATATCCGCACTGCTGAAACTTTTTCCAGAGTCTTTCACCACTTCTTTCCTGTTAAAAATAATAATTGATCAATAAATGCATCTACAGATTTTAAATAAACTCTTTCTTAATGAATATCAAGGAAAATGTGAATAGTCAGGACACGTTTCATTTGCCAATTACTTAACAGTGATCCAGTATTAATCATCTGAATCTGCAACTATTTCATGGATATCTCTAACTTCCCAAATCCTTCCAGAGGCTTGAATGACTGGGCCTCTTTCTTTCTCTTTCCCCATGTCTGGTTTCTTTCTCATTTTCACTCTCAGTTTTTTAAACTTACAAAATAATTCCACCAAAATCATTCAACATGCAAGTGCTAATGGAATATTCTTGGAGGCAGCCATATTGAAATTGCCAGTCAGTTGGCCTGCTGTATAGTGAGAGCATAGGAAAATCTGCTTCTCCTTTGCTGAATACACATCTTAACTAATTGGTGACCACCCTATCCGATGACAAGTCACCTAAAGCAGAACATGGACACGAATATGGAAAAAGGGTGTATGGGCACATATGCCCCTTTTCCAAAGAACTCCTCAATTTCAGGTGTGACTGCATGAAGTATTCTGTTATAGGGGAATTTTCAGAATGTATTTGAATATGAAGAAAAATTAAGTTACCAAAAATAACAATCTGCCCTGATTTTTTTAAATGTCCCCTTCTACTCCCCTCCTGTTACCTGTAATGTAAAACTGAAAAGAAGTTAGCTGCTTTTTCATCCATAATATGCACTGGTGGGAAGGTAGGATGGAATTTGAAGTTTTCATGCATCATTTATAAGGCACAAGATGAGCAGTATGATGATTCTTCACCTGGAGAGGATACTGGGGCTCTTCCGTCTGACTCCATGGAGTTGTCACTCACTTCTGATGAAGTACCTCAGAATATCCCTCCTGAAATCTCCCCTGAGGTAAGCATTTGAGGTTCTCTTTCTGATTATCCATAAATTCATGAAAATGCATATGCAGTTCATATAAATGAACACCTGTACCAGTACCACATCTGACTGCATTTTACAACCCTTAAGGGTGCTGAAATGTTCTGTTACATACACTTGTAGCCACCACTGGACTGAGGTGCCTACCAATTTCTTAAGGGAAATGAAAACATTTGCCATGAAACGAAATCCAGACAAGCGAATTATTGGATTAGTACCATATCGATTGCTGCCATACTCGTGAGAAACAAAATAGAGGTGATTTGAAAGTGCATAGAAATGCCAACAAATAGGGAGTTACTTTTAAAGCCAAGTTATGGGGGAAAGGGCAAAAGCTGTTGGGTTGATTATAGGGATGAACTAACTAAAGTTTGTATTCTAAATGATAGCTCAGTACTGCAAGGGAGGAGAAGGATTCATTTCTATGGGAGAGCAAGAAGGTATACCTTAGATTGATATATTCATAAAGCCATTCTGCAAGTTTCATTCAAAAAATCAAATGCCAAGATCGAGATGAGGTCTCATTTTCCCTTGACAGGATCTTGTTCAGGTGAATGAATGCATTTGGAAGGGTAAGACTTGGCTCGGGGCAAACGCATATTTCTGTGAAGTCTGCAAGTATTTCTCATCCAGAAAGGATACAGCCGTGGATCATAGCACTCTTCATACAAAAAGAAGACGTCATAGTTGCAGAACTTGTGGCCAGGGCTTCAATCGTAGAGGACAGCTTATTGCACATATGGAAAGGAAGCATCAGTCATAGATACAAAAATGTATTTGTGAAATACTATGGAGGGAAGAGGAGGTCAAATTTTCATTGCATTTGAAAGAAGTAGAAATCTCAAGATTTTTTTTCAAATAAAAATGAATTTTTATATATAACCACATTCAAGTCAATTATTTTGGAGGTGTCAAATGGTTTAAATTGTGGGGGAAAAGTTTTATTGGATGAAATTAGCACTTGAATGAGTCATTCTTATTTCTGAGTGTCTCTCTTACATTGGCTAAGTCATTCTTTTGGCCTGTCCCATCTCATGAGAAATAGAGGCTCAGCTAGATGAGAAGCTGGAGATAATGCTCCTGAAGACATTTTGGGACTCTTATGTAACTCTTCTGTGAAGAGTTTTAACAAAACCAGGACCCTTGATTTTTATTTTTTGTCTATCATAACAGTAAGCTTTGATGAAGAAACCTGTATAGAATGAAAACCTGTGATATTAATTCAGAGATGAAACTGCAAACCCATCTGGAGAATTTCACTTCAGAGTGGCCTCCAAAGAATATGCACACATTTGCATTTATTTAATTCTATTTAATTTGCATGAAAAACAGTGCCTGATGAAAATGTAATTCATGCTCGTAGATTCTTGTTTTCTTCACCATTAATGACAACCTAGACTTGTCATTTCACAACTGCTTTCTTGCACCACTGATGAGATACACTCAACATTTCCCCCATTGGCCAATTTCTTCTATCATATACACTAGTATGACTCTATTGCTGTGATGATGCCCTGCCACCATTCATCTTTCTCCTCCCTTTCTCTATGCTCTTACTTGAGAGATTGCTTATGACAAAGCATGAGAGAGTGGCTGTGATGAAAGCAATGCTATGGCATAGATTCAGGTTTGGGAGAAGTCTCTTTCAATGCTAGTTTGAGTTCAGGAATCACACTATGGCAGTTACCATGCACCTGGGACTAATGGCAACAGAAAAAAGCCATTGCTGAACAGAGACAGATCCAAAGTTAGAGATCTGCATACAATTATTAGGCAGCAGTAATCGATGAGTAAATTTTTTAAAATTAGAAATTCTTTTATTTCTTTTCAAAGTACTTTTGTTGTGGGGGAAGAAAGTAATGGAACTTTATTGGACCATTTTTTTTCACTTTTTCTTACTGAAAATGATGTTTAAATGCAGAAGAACCTGCATTTGTTTTGTACTCCTCAATTGAAGGTTAATGATGAGTTACTAGTGCATATGCAGAGCTACTGAGAATTCTTCAGAGATGGTTAAGCCAGTAGACATTCACAAACATATTTAATGTGTTGGGCTAATCTGCCCCTCCTTTGAGCTCACTTTATTTTTTTGGTGCAATCAGTTCAGTTGGGGGCAACAAAGTGTGAGTTACTGGCATACTATGGTCTGGACAGTTTCAAAAGTAATTTCAAAAAGGTCTGATTGGTCAAAGGTTAAAAATTCTGATTGAAGTGCATTCTGTTGTCACTAATTGTTAACATAAAAATTCCTGAGGTACTGTAAAACCTGTCTGAAACTGAAACGAGAGATCATGGAAGTATTCTGAATTCAACCAGTTTTTGCCTTATTCAGATTAGGTTTCAGATAAGTTTTACAGCAGTAAAGTTAGTTGGGGCTCTGGTTAAATGAAGTTAGCTCTGGAGAACATCTCAGGATTGTATCATTCATAGCAGCAACATTAACTCTACTTTAATCCAACCCTTGGGAAGTTGAGGGAAAAGAACTTGTGCTTGAGGTATACTTTTTTTTGACATCTCTTTCTGAAAGGTAAAAAATTAAAATTAAAGTAGTTTCAGCAATGGCTGAGCATGTCAATTTTCATATGTAGAACCACTTCAGAAACACAGAGAGACTCTTGGTTCTTTTCCAGATGCGCCTGAACGAAAGCATGTGGGTGGGTCGTGGGCCTCAGTGTGTCAAAGTGTTCTTTTGTGAATTCTGTTCATATGTGACTGATCACAAGGGTCACGCTGTGGATCATAACACGGTCCACACTGGAAAGAAGCCTTTCCCTTGTGAATTGTGTGATAAAAGTTTCCTCAGACCATCTCATCTTTCTCGTCACTTATCAAAGCGACATGGAGTACCAATACTGCAGTCTTAGCTTCAGTTGAAGCGTTTGAATTGTCAGGATTCATGTACTTAAATGCTCAAAGACTATTTTGTGAAATGAGCCCTTTCTTGCATTTGTGAATGTTGAGTAAAGAATTTTTTCACTGGCCTTTGATGTTGTTCTTCACTTGCTATGCAACTTTCTTTCAAAGTTATGTTAGTGCTTTCCAAAACTACTTTATAAGTGTTTGATATTCAAAACAATTACCATACATTTTCTAACACTTAATCTCCCTTTTGGAGTTTGGAAAATCAGACATGAAAGAGCTTTGGTTACATTTTATTGAGAAGTTAAGGGTTGTAGAATAGGTGACATCAATCATCACATCACCAGCACCTTTAAATGATGTGAAAGATGCCAAAGATGTGAAGGGCTTGTCCTGATGTTCTTCTGAGAACATGATTGCTATGCAAACATACACTAATTAGGAATGACTTGACCATCATGTAACCTCTGATATGTCACGTGATTAACGGGTTAGTTTGTAGTTGGCACAGATATAGCAGGTGGTTTGCTTCATGTTAGCTGAAGTTGGTGCCTAATCTAATTTTACTTAGATGCTTGCAAGGCTGATAAAGGAGATAGTATCTACCTTTTTACTTTAAAATGGGTATTGACTCACTTTCCAAGGTCAAAAGAAAACTTCATAATTCATGAGACACTTGAACACTTGAGAACTTCATGAGACACTCCATACTAGCCTTTCAGCTGTAGTATGCCTGAAAATTCATCATTTCTTCATGCAAGACAATTTAATTGCAACAATTTAGAATGGGTGAACAGTACATTTAACCCTTAAACTACCAAGCCTTGAAGTTTTGTGTATTATGACATAGGCTCTGGGTCAAATTTGATCCGACTTGGTCGTTTAAGGGTTAATCTGCATGTAAATGGATTGGTGGATTTAACAGTTTTCATGAAATCTGTAATTCATTAAGTTGAAGATTCCTTGAGATTGAATTTTTAAAATAAATCATCTGTGTGGTTCTGTGGAATTCCCTCATCCATGTCCCAGATCTCAGATACATGCCTAAAATGCTTTTAAAAAGATATAGAACCAGAATGACTAATAATGCATTTATTGATACTTTACTCTTCTAAAAAAAAATAGTTTTCTCAACCTCTCTTAGTCTTTGACTCATAGACACTGATTAGATTTGAGTGTCCAAACATTTGAAAGGCTCATAAATTCAACTGTGGATGTCTTGTAGTATTGGTAGTTTTTCTTATGTGAAGAGTTTGTTGCAAATGCTCTATGCTTGTAATTTATGAAAAATGAATTCATGATGAGTCAACCTTCCACCTGGATTATAAACTTATTTTGATCCAATACCACACATGCAATATGCATGTGTGCCTCTACAAAGGCAGATATATGGTGAAGAAGTTGATATAGATGATAGTCTGGCTGACAGGCCGACTGGCTGATAGGCTGACACTTGAAGGAATAGTGGCACTAATGAGGCTGTCATGCAAATGGTGACAAATACGTATTTTTCTTTTGCAGCTCTTGAAACCATGACATTTATGAGGTTGGGGTAATAAAGAAGAAAGAGCCTCCCTAATGATTTGTGACATTAGCACTCCTCTCACAATTGCTGCATCAAGTGGGAGTATAAAGGCAATAAATCCAGTTCTGTTGGTTGGATTCATCCCCTGAAAATCCTTATAATAAATAAGAATTACCTTTTACTGAAAAGACATTGTCATAAAATTTATTGGATTTCCAAGGAATGAAGCCAAAATGATTATTTGCTACTTGACCACTTGATGTTTAAAAAATGAGAGCTGTTTTTTGACTCTTTATGGCCCCCCCCCCCATGAGGATGACAGAATGTGATGGCTAAGTCCATTGGTGTTAGCCTAAAGAGTGACCAGACTTTGTGTCATTTTCCAAAAAAGGAAATGGAATTGGAAAGTAAGATTGACAATAAGGGAAGCAGTAGGCAACAAGTTGATCTGGACCTGACATTCATGCAACTTTCAGGTGACTCTTCTCACCCTTGCATTTTAAACACTCAATCAATTGATGCAGTCTTATAATTTGTGTGGTTGAGAAACTGACAGTTCCTCTAACAGATGCAAGCAGTTCCAGACCTCAGGAACTATTGTTCATGTAAGGAATTACATTGGTGTGCAAGAGAGGTTGAGAGAGTAATGTTAATTTGAATGAATTCAGAAATAAATATTGAATATTGCCATTATGACATTGCATGATAGTCAGTCACATATCTGAATAGCTACTTTGAATTTCCTCATCTGGATTTAGTTGCTCAATCTGATTGGGATTGAACCAACTTGAACTACCTCAATGGAATCAATTATCAATTAATGCCAATGGTGATGCTGAAGGCAGAAGTTTTTTGCTAGGGTTTTTTTTTTGTCATGAAAAGGAGTTACAGAGTGGAATATTAGATGATTCTTTCACTGTTCCTCATCTTTTAATGCATAATGCATTTAACCATTATTGATTTTATATGAATCCTCACTTTGCAACCTGAGATAATGTAGTCAAACATGATGGAGGTGAGAGTTTTTTTCTGAAGGTTTTTTATTAAATGAAAGCTTTAAGACAGTGAAAATATAACTTATAATATAACTTAATTCAAAGCTGTCAAAATGATTACCAATATATAGGACACATTTCATGTCATAAAAAAGTGGGAACATGAATGTGGAAAGTTGTGACCATCTGTGCTGGAAAACATTTGTAATCAAAGAAGAATATTGTGGAGCTCTGACCAAAAGCTTAATTTCTTCCTGTTCTTTTGTGTAACTGCAAGGTCATTGACTTCTTTCCTTGGCCTTTCCAATACATGGATACAAGTACCAGTAATTGGCATGTCCATGAAAGAGATCTAAAGGAATATTTTTCATGAATTTTCATATTGTTGGAGTAGCAAATTATAAGCAAATTTCCTGACAATCATTTATGTAATGAATACTTATAAGCTTGTATTTAGTTGAACTTGATTGGAGATGGTATTTTCCTATAGATAAATGAGCTTCGGTATGTCTCTTTATCCTATCTACATATCTACAGTAGTCATGTAGTTTAAACCAGACTTCCCTGTTTTATGAGTGATTTTTTAAATTCCATTTCAGGAAATACTGTGGAAATAATATATTTCCATAAAGTGCATTTGCCAGAATGGCAAACAAATACAATTTGAAGTGGAATTCCCATCATACAGAAACATTCAGCAACTTCAACTTGTTACGGAATAGGGAAATGTTTGTGGATGTCACCTTGTCATGTGGTGGACAGACTATGAAAGCTCACAAGTTGGTGTTGTGTTCTGGGAGTGCCCTTTTTGAAAAATTATTACAGAAAGACAGCAGCATCTGTCCCATCATCCATTTCCATGGCATAGACATGATGCATCTAAGACTTCTAGTGGATTTCATGTATTCAGGTGAAGTGGATGTACCTTCTACTGAGTTGGAGCAATTCATTGCTCTTGCTGACAGCCTTGAAGTTAAAGGTCTGAAAGGAGACAGATCCAAAAGGTCTGATGTACCCCCAGCATTTGGGAGGCCAGAACTGCAGTCATCATTTGGAAGACCAAGGGTGGCTGGCCCAACTTCCTTTGGACGATCAATGGGAGTTTCTTTTCAGCCAAGCACATCTGGGTCAACCATGGGTACCCAACTGAAACGAAAGCTTCCATTAGCAGTTGATAGTGCCTCAGGACTGCAAGATTCTCAGTCTTCACCATCACCAGTGCCAGAGAAGAAGTCAATGCCTGAATCAATCATTCCTGATATCCATAATCAGGTATAAATCTAGCAGTACTAAGTCATAGAAACCTTCAGTAATTGCACATTATCTTATGCAAGTAACATTTTCTTCTCTAGGCATCTGATAGTGCTGCATCAGAAGGATTTGTGAAGACTGAAGCTGATGAAGCAGAAGTGGAAGAGGTAGAAGTAAGTTTTCATATTTCCTTTTTAATCCTCTTGAATTACAATGGGCTATTTTTTTAAAAATATGATATACGCAAGGTTCTACACATTACGTATCTTAGCCACTTTTGACATCACCAGCCTGGGAAGTGAATATATTAACAAAACTTTGCTGGGTAGCATAAATAGTCCATGGGAGTTTTATTGCCATAGGTGGCTCATGTAGTTATGGAAGTGCCACAAAGTGCTCAACCTGAATGGTGAGCCTACTGATCTGAGTCATCATGTTAGCCATGGGAGACACTGAGTGGTTTCAGTGTCACATTGTTCTGAAAGTGGATTAAGCACAGCAGCAACATAGCAAAACTTTTGAACACAACATGTAAGAGGTCGTGTTAAAAAAAAAAATGCAATGAGAACTCACAAAGAAGGTTCATGGAGCAAGAACTACTCCAGCTCTGAAACCATGACTCTGGGACTCCTCTGGCAGCTGATATATTATGCCAATAACCCTTTACTGCATGATATATGGAGAAAAACTGCCTTGGAGTAAAACATTCAAATTTTGTATGCATTTCCTTTTTTTCCAACTAGGTTGTAACTAAAGTTTTTGCACATACAAACAACGCAACAGTCTGCGAAGAACAATTTTTCCGTCACACATTCTGAACGCTGTAATTTTTTATATTATAAATTTAGTGATTTGTAGAAAAAGCAACATATATTTATATGCGGCATAAAACATGCTTTCGTTCAGAATGTGTGACGAAAAAATCGTGCTTCGTGGACTGTTGCATTGTTTGTATGCACAAAACCTTCATTACAACCTAGTATTTACAAGAATGAGATATTTTGCATCAAGCTGCCAAAATGCAAGAAATTTGCAAAATGAGAAACACTGCAATTGGCAGAATTTGCTATACATCAGACAATGATGTTAGGTGAAGATACAGGGTGACAAATAATGGATGCTCCCAAAATAAAAATTTATTTCTCGAATTCTACAATAGTTAGGAAGAAAATTCAAATGGTATTGTGAACTTAAACTTAGGGAGATTATGTCATGACATGCTCGATGTGGGTACCCTTCTTTGCAAACCCGATCATCAAAATGCTCCTCGAGGAACTCAAACACCTCGCGCGTGCGATGAGGTCTCGCACCGTCCTGCATAAACCAACTTTCTTGCACAAGCCCCAATCCCTGTACAACTGGAATGAAATTCTGTGACAGACACTCGAGATATCGTGCAGAAGTGACGTTGCCATCAATAAAAACAGCACCAATGATTCCACTTCCGGAAATGGCACACCAGATAATATTGTTGCACCATGAAAACTCATTGTGCGATGCTGTAGGTTGCCATTTCCTCAAAAACGTCAACAATGGACAAGAGCCTAATACTGTATGCTGGCGCTAAAAATTGTCCTGCATTTACGGAGTATCCATAAAAAATTTGAAGTTCATACACCCATATTCAACAAAGATATTAGTGATTCTTATGGGAGCGTCCATTATTTGTCACCCTGTATGAGCCAACATAAGCATGACAAAGCCTTTTTAGGCATGAAATATATTTATTATAAAATTAAGAAGTTTGTGATAAAATAAGGTAAGGTGAAAGGTCTTTCACTCAGCTATGGTACTGACCCAGTGTTTTCGATATGCTCCCAGTTGGAAACAAACATACATGTAGAAAGTATTTATGTTCTTTCCAATCAAGAACATCAAGGATATTTCAGAAATTCCCCCATTCACCACACAGTGAGTTGACTGCCAGCACCTTCACAGGTGTTGAGGACTATCCTGTTATTGGAATTCTAGCAATATATTCTGTTCACTGCTTTTTCCAAACCAGACTTCTCAGAGCACTTCTAAACATGTCCCTTACTTCAGTTTGTGGGTTATTCACATTTTTGCAATTTTTCTTACTGCATTATGTCTTTTTTTTTTCCTTGTTCCACTGATGTTCTAATCTTTATTAGCTTTTATGCCATTGGGTTATCCCCTCACACAACCCTTTTTCTTCACTTTTGTGAAGTAATATTTCCTTGAAGACAAAATATATCTTTAGTTTTTTTCCCTAAACTTTACTTATACAAGAAAGGAATGGCAGAGATGATGAGAGTGGTTAGTTCTCATTGAACTCCCGCCCTATGTCTCCCTTTGAGCTCATCAATAAACCACATAAAAGTATTTCAATTTGCTCTGGGTCTACTTCAATATACCTTGGAGTAACATCCTTTAGACCAATTTTGAAAGTTATAAAAGAGGCTTAATCTAAGAATGAAATGTTTCAGGAGGTTGAGCAGTCCTATTTTGCTGAAGAGGAAGGCATGGGAGCTGCTGAAGGTGAAAACAGTAATAGTTCATATCAAATGGAGGGAGGAGAGGAGTTTGATCCAAATGAGCTTCCTGCAAATATCCCTCCTGAAATAGCACCAGAAGTGAGTTGCTTGATATATATCTTCCATTCGTCTGGTGGTCTCTCAATGACGTACTGATTCCTCTTGTGTCAGTCCCCCCTCATGGTCAGTAACAGTGCAAAGTTGTAATTATGCCATGTACCTCAAACTGAGTTTGTTTGTAAAGTCTTTCAATGACTTAGCTACATATTGTTAGCAGCATTAATTTGCAGTTAAGACTTGCCAAATAAATACAGTGTGAAGTCCATGGTGGGTCTATGAGGTGGGACTGCCTGCATTTGTTTTAATATTAAATCCCTACAGCTGATGCCTGATGCATTGCTGCAGATCTTGGACACATGAACCCATCATGACTTAAATGGTGAAAGTGAAGTCTGGTCAAGTTTTTTTTTTTTTCATTTTATGGGTGGGTGGGTGAGTGATACAAATTCCAACCCTTCTATAAAGTCTGCCCCCACATGACATATTTCAATTTAATCAGAAGTACAAACAGCCTTTTTCAACTAAATTACACCAATGCTTGGTATCTGAACATGAATGAGCAGTGTGTGTGCATTTTCCTCTCGATTGGCATTGATACCAAAAAATTAATTTAAAACCATGGGTGAGGGGGTGGATTTTGAGCTTAAGGGGGTCAGAATTTGTATCACTTACCCTACTTCCAGTTTACCTGAATGAAGCAAAATGTCAACTGTTATTGCACTGATGCATTTGCTGTTCCACCTGGTAAAGCCAATAGAGTGCTTTTCACATATCAATTTAGGCATTCTGTTTATAGCCTTCTTTTACCCAGCAAGGTAAGGCCAAATGCTATGATTTGACCAGACTTCATCACTGCTTTTTTTTTTCTGAGAGTGGCAAATGAAGCGAACTTGGTGAAAACACTTCACTAAGGTCCCCAACTCTGCAACTTCATGTAAATTAATCTCAAATAACTCTTCCATGTATCTACTTGGATTCAGCATAATTCATGGTTGTGAATGTGTGAAGAACAATCATTGAGAGATCACATCAGTCAAGATTGATGTTAAGCAACAGTAACCTGTGCACAAAATGCTCAAACCATTGAGGGGCATTAGAAAGTATTGCATGTAGGCATGTCACAAGAGCTTGTTTTTCATTTGTTGCTCTACTCGTTTTTCTTTTGCTGATGACACCCATATGCTGCTGTTGAAGCTCAGCCCTCTTAGAAGTAGCAAGGATAGGGGGAAAGGGGGGGTTATATGACATTAAAGGCACTGTTGCAGGGAGCAAGTAAATCTGAATGTCCAGACATGGATGCACTAGTCCTATCATCTGTATATCTGATGATGATTATGGAGTTCTGAGGCATACAACAATGCTTGAGATCTAGTCAGAAAGATCCTATTGCCTAAAATCTGCAACCAGAAAAATAGGAGAACTGAAGGGAATGAGGATTGTATTTAGTGTTTCCATTTTTAATTTCCAAAAAAGACAAGGAAACTTTTTTAAGGTACAGGTTACACTGTTTAGAAGTAACAGTGGCTTAGATAATCTCTCAATCTTAAGTAACTTGCATTTACTGATTATTTCCCTACACTTGGCATTGCTCCATGGGGTCATGACTATAGTATAGTTACATGGCATTTCATCTGTGGATTTCATCATTAGTAACTATTGTCTCAAGATCCTTCAATTGAACTAAGTCAGCATATCAAGGTCTAAGAGTCAAATTCTACTGAATCTCCATGTCTTTCTGTGAAAATAACAAGACTTGTTGTTCCACTTCACACATGAGTTTAATGAACTGGAAGGCTTTCATTTTATGACTTGTCTGAGCCATTCCATTTGACAGTGACATAAAAGGTTTTGTTTTTTGAAAAGGTCTGAGGCAACTTTTACATTAACTGTAGGGCTATCGAAACAGTTAGCAAAGTACCAAGTTTTGACTCTTCACAATGATATTTATTGTACTAAGTATTGCATGTAAAATCCTTTCATGTAAAAATTTGTCATGATGCAACACATTGCAGCATGATAACACTGATGCATTGAACTCTGCCATTGTGCCACTATTAAAAGTATCTTTTGACAAGATGCTTTAAGGGAAAATCAGGAGTGGAACCAGCGTTAAGTGACCATGCCATGGACTTTATATATTGGGTCTGTCATGTCCCCTGAGAGAATCCCAAAAACAGCTCCCCATTCCAAGATGACTGGCTCAGGATCAGTCAGTAAGTCCCATACATGGTGGAGGGACAAAGTTATTAGACTTTATTACAAGAGCATCCCACCTACAAAGCTTGATTGTGTTGTTGCAGCATCAGGAACATTGGAAGATGGTCCTGGGTCTGCTTGAACCAAGATACATTTAAGTTGTCCAGTAGGTGGTTGTAAGAAAATCTTTTCCTATTAAGAATTTAATTAATTTCCTTTAATTTCATTGTCAGATATACCATAATGAAACTGTCACAATCACAACTTATAGTTCTTGTTATAGTGAAACTCATTGTCATGAAACCAATGGCCGTAGGGTGTCTTCTCTCCACTATACTGAAAAAGTTGTTTGATTTCTAAGTGTTTAGATGAGAACAAGATGATAGATTGCTAGAAGGGCTCATACCATGCTTCAGCAGCATGGCTTTTGTGAACCTTACCTTCAGAAACTGTTATGCACATTGCAAAGAGTATTAACATGTTGCAACTTTGCATGATCTTTTTTGTGCTTTTGGTGAATGCACTTTTGAATTAGTATTGGTATAGTAGAGATATTGAAGAGAACCATGTTGCTTTGAGAAACATATGTGATACCTGGGTGATCAAAATGTTATGCAGATTTCTCAGAAAAAGAAACTGTGACCAGGTAGACTTTGTGTGTCGGTGCACATGTAGGCACGATTCTTAAGCACTTTACAGAGCTTTTCAAAGCATAACATGTGGACTCCAAGCAAATCATTCCATTTTTGAAGGTGAAAACTTACATGAAATTTAGAAAATAGGCAAATTGACTTAGGAAATTAACGGTTCTAGTTGAAGGATGGTGCTACAGTAGGTAGGTGAAGATCAGAAGATAAGCATGGAAGACAACTCATGGATGACTAGAAACTTCCATCACTTGAATTCAGATAATTTCCAAGATTCAAGATAATTAGTGATTCACACAATAGGGAAACTGGGTGTCATGAGGCAGTGTTCATTCACTTGTAACTGAGCAGATGGGAAAGAGACAACTGATGGTAAAATAAATCTTGCTTATTTTGAGTGACAAGCAAAACACATTTCATCTATCATCCAGCCAACATTGTCACATTCATTCTTTCATCAATCACTTCCTAAATCACAATTTTGCTAGTGATGAGACATGATGCTACAGATATGGACAGCAATTGCAGAGAAATAGTCAGAATATAAGGTACAAAGCTTTCCAAGATCTCGGAAACTCAGTGTAAAATAGGGTCAATCAAAGTGATGTAATTCATTTTCTTTGGCTGAGGAATTCTTGTGAGTTCCTTAGTCATGGAAATTCAGAGTTCTCATGTTGCTCTTTTACAGTTAGTCAACGAAGAGTATTTTTTGCGGGCATGAGTAGTGACACTCCTTAATGGCAATGTGTCTCCACATCTTTGTGTCCCTGTTCTTAAAAGCTGAACCTGGAAAATTTTGCCTCCTCCCACATTCTCCAGAATTGTGCCTCCATGACTACCATATATTTCCAGTCAGAAGAAGAAGCTTTTTATAGATTTGCCAAACTTTTTCATCCCTGTATGTAGACCTCTTATTATCTTTATCATTCTTTATTTATTTATTTTGCAGAAATGCCTTTCTATTCCTGGTCAGTCAGTAAGGTATTATGTTGAGTCAAGACTATAATGGTTATGATTTATTTATGGCTCCAATGAGGCAAGTTGCATTAAATAGAATTGCAAGGTTGACATGGATGAACAAGATTTGAGAAAGATGGTAGGTGTGATAATGTATCCTCAGACAGTTCACAGAACATTTGAGATTATGGATCTCATGAATTCTGTGCACTTGGCAGATGTGATCTTGATTCTGTTGCCTCATTAGTAGCTTTTTTTAGCATGCACACATGGAAAGCTTACCATTCTAATTGGAATTGAAGGGAAAGAACTCATTGGCTTTGATCTTCCTTTTTTGTTTCTTCTCTTTCCTATACCCTTCCCTTTTTGGAGAAGATAGAGGCTTGTTATAGATTAATTTGAATACTTGTACTCAGATTTTTTTTAAACCCCTTAATAACATTGTGAAGGTCCTCTAATACAAATTATATTTGTGCAAGACTAATACATTAGCTGCATTGTAAATATATTCATCAATGGACCTTGGAAACCACGATGAAAAACCAGAGAAATCACTTTCAGTCCCATCAAGAATGAGAAGAGAACAAGCTCATGGTTCAAGGAGAGAGTCAGGCAGAAGCCTTCTCTATACTTAGGGTGATTTATTATGATAACATACTCTAATATTTCCTTTTGCATTGGTGAAAGTGATTACAAGGTTGAAAAAAGCACTGTGAATGAAATGCATTTGTAAAAGTGCAAAATATAAATTATATTCAAGGGATTTCAAACTATTCAGTTATGTGCAATGTTTTGTTTGCATGTCTGTCTACCCCTTAGAGACTTGCTTGAGCTGATGTTTCCAATCCTAACCTGTCTTGGCTTGGATCAAATCCAAAATAAAATTTTCAACTGAGCTTCACAGCCTCTCTCACAAATCTTGCTTCAGACCAATTGTGCCAACCAACAGACTGTTTAGGACTTAATGCTGTGGTCTCTGAGAATGGGATTGATGCTTAATTTTTCAATTTAGTATTCTAAATTCAAATTGTCAGTCTCATTTGAAAACTACTAGACAAAACTCACTGAAAATTGTTGTGAAAGGATATTGGGCATGGGTTCTCTCATGACAGGTCCCATCCCCTAGAATTGATCAACATATGACTGCCCAAGATACCAAAAAAGTCTCATTTGAATGTAATGGGATGAAATAAGACTCAATTCAGGAACCTTGAGTTTTTCTGAGTGCTACATATTCAAACAGAGAAAAGAACTCTTCATATAAGTTTTCATTTTAAATTATTTTTCTAAGTTCACAATATGATGAAGTTGGATTCAACATTCTTTCTCTTTCAATCTGTTTTCATTCATTGATGTCCACATTTTAATATCTATTCTGGCAAACACCAGTTGACTCGTTGCACCATTCTGAAGTGGTCTGAACCACCTCCATTGAAAAAATTTAGCCATGAATTATGAGCCCTGGATGCTGAGATTCTGTGTTTTGAGTTCAGATAAAGGTTGAGTATGTTGAGAAATAAAAGGTCTCTCCTTTTGACTTTAGTGATTTCACTTCTCTAGTTGCACATTCCATTGATACATACCTGAGTAAAATCCAAAGCCACATTCTTTTGTTAAGGAGTAGATTGTGCATAAACATTTTTTAAAAAGATAAATCTAATGCAGTCGCAAAATTCTGAATGAAACTGTGATAAGTATAGTGATGTACTGGTAAGGTATTGGTAGATGTGAACAGAGAGGTTGGAGTCATCATTCTGTACCAAGCTACCATTTGCATTGCTTTCTGCCACAAGTACAATATGGAGTAAACCCTCCTACTATCTGAAAGATTTTGAAGTGGGGTGAGTTCCAGCCATGAATTTTATTTTCAAGACACACCAAACTTCCTTTCTTCTTGTAGCTTTCACCTCACAAAGCAACACTCAAACCATAATCATTTTACCTTGCTTTTTATAATGGTCATAAATATACCCATGACAGTGAACTGTTTTGTGCATCTGAAATGATTGCACAAGGAAGCTAGCTACAAAAACTTGTTTTGAAATGAATTTATGGACCACAAACTACCAATCCCCCTCAACTTGAAACTTGAAACTGCAAGTGATCATGTACTCATTGTATAAGGGTATATGTTGTGAAAGACAGCTTCTTCACTGTATCCATCAGACATTGATGAAGGTGAGAGAAGGAGTGTGGAGAGGTCGACATTCAGGAAGTTCCAAGACGTTCTACTTCTGTTCATGGTGTGGCCACAAAACTTTTGTGAAGACGAACATAGTGGCTCACTCACGCACTCACACAGGAGAGAAACCCTACGATTGTTGGCATTGTGGCGTGAAATTTGCTCGCAAAGACTATCTAAGCTCTCACATCTTCAAACATCATTTGTGAATTGTGCTACGATGGGAAGAACTCCACATAACAAGCCATGTGACTTGCTCAGGAATTATTGCATTTTAGGAGAGTTTGTGAGCTCAATAATGGAAGTTTATATTTCTGTATTTTCTCTTACACGGATGTCCTACTGTTCAACATACTTGCTGTGAGTATTCAGACCTGATCTGAGGGGATGTAGTGGAAATACCTGTTCCCCCTGAACATGTGTTTCAGGAATGAATTTCTGATTCAGGCTTCCTTTGTAAACCCTAATAAAGGTGGAGCTTACTCAAAATGTGAAATGAAACCTAATTTAGGTTCCACATATTTCCAACACATTACTCGTCTCAAAGTGTTCATTCTTTTGTTGCCCAAGTAAAGGAGAGTACCTTACCTTTACTCATTGTCAACCATTAAGAAGCTTGTGTCGGGTACCCATTTTTGGTTTTGCTTCTGCATTTTTGCTAGACTGATGAGCAATTCCAATGGGGTCTAGTCTGCACAAGATATGTTTTATAGCTACAGAACTTTTGCTTTAGCTGATGCCCTTACAAGTTGCCATAACTTTAGTTTTCTTATGGGGAACATATACACTGTCATGGGATTGGGAGCCATTTCATTATAATGTTAAAGAGAAATGTTTTACCTTCCAATCATACTCTGTGAAAGCATAAGCTCTTACACCTCCCTTGCTATCTCATTGCATCCAAAATTTGCTTCTTGTGGCATCTTGGAGCATGTTTTCTCTTGTTCACATTCTACTCACCTGCCAGAGATTAATGTTAATCTCTTATATGCTGGTACTTATCATTTGTAATTGGGCAAGCTGCAATAATTTATACTTGGGAGTGATACACTGAAATCCCTCCAGCCATTTCTTTCAGAGTATTGCCTTGCCTTGCCTTTAAGAAGTGCTCATGTATTTTTTGCCAGAGTGTGGCCAGGGGGAGAAATGGAATTTGGTCTGGAAAAGATGCTAGAGGGCAGTGCAGGATATACTTCTGCGAGTACTGTACATTTGCATCATCACGCAGCTCCAATGTCATTGCTCATGCACGAATCCACACTGGTGAAAAACCATTCAAGTGTAACTTTTGTGGTAGAAGTTTTACAGAGAAGAAGCCTTTGAAGAATCATATGTGGACTCAGCACAAAATGATTTAAGTCTTGTTGTTTGGAGTGATACAGAAAGTCAAATAAATGGTTTGCTAGAAGCATGTGTTTACCTTTCTTTGCGGGTGGTGGAAGAAAGTGAGAAGGTGTCAATTCTGTCCCAGGGATAAAACAATATAGGGATAAATTTCTTTAGATGTGTGCAGGATGCATATATACATTGTACTCAACCTAGAGATATCAGTCCCCTTTGGACATGGGGTGAGCAGTAAGGCTTAAGGCAAAGATGTAGTCATTGTTTTCTCTAAGAAGAACAGTCTGACTCTCCCTTTAACTGTCTGTTAGGCAGCTTTCAAGTGCTTGGAGGTGATGGTCTTTGAGATAACAATCTGTTTGCCTCACTACCATAGTGAAGTCACTCCTCTAAGTGGAAGGACTAAAGAAACAAAATTTCCCACCCTTTGTTGTTTGTGATGACTGTAAGGACTGGATTGCATCCAGAGGCATAAAGTTTTGGTTAGGAAATGTAAGTTTTGGCATTTTGTAGGAAACATCTTCATTCCTCGCCTTTGCAATAAGGAATGAAGTAAGTATATATAAAAGTCATTCCCTGCCTCACAGGTGGGTACCATTGACTGTTTTTGGGCTGTTATTCACTGTCTTCAAGGATGTTAATTGCCCAATTAATAAGTGAAGTATTTTTTGGCAAAGAGAAAATTTCTTACATTTGGGTGCTTTTGCCCTGTGGTTTTCTTTTCCTCAGTATCATGTAATCATGGTACTGTAATACCACCAGTAATCATGGTGACAAATGCAACTTCCAATATATATACTTGTCTTCCCGAGACATAACACTGAGTAATATGATAGTGTTGACATGTTTTATAAATAAGTATTATTAGTAAGTGTTACTCTGAACAGGAGACAGGTAGGCCTGAGGTCAACAGACCTTGTTGCTTGCTGTCATTATTAGCCTAACACCTAGTTATAGAACCCCTTCTTACAGGTCTGTAAAATAATGATCTTCCCTCTTTCTCTTAGAGTTTGCATTCCATTCCATAGCTCTTGTTGCTTCATAGTACAGTCTTGGTATTGAGAGGACTGAGTAAGCACTGACAATGGAAGAAATTCAGATTTGTATGGGCTCCATGAACAAGAATGTAATGGAGAAGCTCTTTTTTTTTTGGTTACCAACATTCAGTCCAATAGCCTTACAATGATTAGAGGATGTCAAATGCATGGGAACAGTGAAAGGGGGCCTTCTCTCACTCAGGAGCATTGCATGTCCAATAAGTGGGCAAAGAGCCAGACTAGCATGACATGTCAGATCTGCAGGAAAGGCTTGAAGGGTAATTGTTTTGGATTGTCTGACAGCAATGTTATCTAACCAGTGGAATTTTGAACCTATCACCATGCATTGGGAATAAATATACAGTAAAAACTCGTTAACGAGTTAATTAAAAACTCCTGATAGTCGAAATTCTGCTTATCTCGAAGTTCAATGCTTGGCCGCGGCCAAATCCCGTAAGACACCATGTTAAATATTCCATTTAACTTGAATTCATTTATCTCAAATTTCCAGATATCTTGAACGACATTTTCACTTCCTATTACGATTTTCTCATGGTTCACTTGAAATCAGGATGGAAGGGGGGAAAAATTATTGTGGGACCTATCAATTTGTTGTATGGGTGAAAGGCAAGGAACCTGTTTGGGAGAAAATCCTTTTCTTTATTTATTTTTTTCTGTCTCTCCCTCCTCCCTCGCAGATGCCTGTGGAAAGGATTAAACCTGAGGATTAAAACCAAAAAGCTTCTGCAATAAAAAGAAGCAACCTCTAGCACTTTCCCAGTCTTTCTTTCGCTCTCACTTTTGGCCATTCCAGTCATATTTGGTTTCCAGAGTACCAGATGAAGGGCATTGTGATGAATGAATTTTGCAGATGGAGTATCAAAGTTTCCCTAGAAATGAATAAAAGCCAATTATAGGGAGAAGGTCTTCACTCCTTGAAATCCGATTCTTGTGCATGGGAAAATCGCCCTATTATATCCCATAACATGAGTAATTTTTATTTTTTTTTATGGGTAGAGGCAATTCTTGGTAAGTTGAACTCTGGACAACTCGAAACGATTTGCCCGGTCCCAAAAAGTTCAAGGTAAAAAGTTTTTACTGTATATGCAAACCTTACAGCCTTTTACCCACAATTAGCATTTGACTTCCATCTACACATTGCTGTGCCTGATAATTGGTTATCATGATGACCATCACCATCTCCCCTGCTCAAATATTAACATAATAATGGACTTTTTATTGCAATATCTGTCTGGACTATACAGTTTGCCCATCTTATGATAGTTATTGTTAAAAATATGAACTCGTGTGTTTCGTAGACCTTGAAGAGGGGAGAAGATGGAATCCTAATCAGCCAAGATCCTTTGACCGGCTGCAGGCTTCACATCTGTCCATACTGCACCTATAGGTCAGGGTACAAGTCACACACTGTGGAACATGTGCGAACACACACAGGTGACAGACCTTTCAGGTGTGATATGTGTGGGAAAAGTTTCTGTCGTAGATCTCATTTGAGACGACACATGGTTACCGGCCATTCCATCCCTTGAGGGAAACAAACTTCCATTCTCATTGGAATTCTATTTAGCTTCAAATGTCTTGTGATTGCTATTTGAGTGGTGATCCTTCGAGAAGACCTTTCAACCCTGTTCAATGGCTGTGTTTACTAGACGTTGACAAAGGAGCAAGGCGGAGTGTGGAGTGCTCGACAGGTGGGGGTCGGCAGCAAGATATACCTCTGTTCCTTCTGCCCATACAAATCTCCCATCAGGACGAATGCCCTGGCCCATGTTCGAACTCACACCAATGAAAGGCCATTTCAGTGCAGTCTTTGTGGTGTGGCTTATAAACAGAATGTGGCACTGAGAAGGCACCTAGCCACATGGCACAATCCTTGATTTATTTTGGTGGCAAATCATGGAGTGAGGTCACTGTCAAGAGTTGACTCTATGTTCTTCAAGATTGATTGTCTTTGGATGTAATATATTTCCTGTGCCATGCATTCTTCTACACTGCTGTGATATTTCCTTATGCTCATTTGACAGATGTGAGTAATTATTTTTTTTACATCTGGAGATGCAGTGTCAGCCTATCATCCATGGGATTAAACCAAACTGTTATCTACTTTCATAACTTCTAATTTGCTGAAATCTGCTGGATCAACTCTTTCATTATCATCATGACACATGTGTTTGTGACTTAGTTTGAAAGATATTGTGGCATGCAGGAATATCATGACAGCTAATTGAAGCATAGAATTCCTACGAAAGGAAGACAGCGTATCAGAGAGACTGAAACGTGAAAACTTTTCAGGAACTAATCTTTATGCTTCAAAGAATCATTTCTTTGTCAGTCATGAAGAGCATATTGAAGATGCCACTGAATTAGAACTTAGAGATCGACCGATATATCGGTTGCCGATATAAATCGGCCGATATGTGCATATCGGTGAGTATTCACATCGGCTCTTTCATGCATTCCGATTTTGGCCGATATCAATAATACAGTTCCGTATAATCTTTCAGTGCAAGAAAATATTACTAGGGCTAGCTCTTCCGCTTCTAAATTGAAACCTTGGCATATTAGTGTTCTGGCCAATCATCGAGAGGCGAGGCGTCTTTCGCTCTGCTTCCGTTCTTATTCTCGTACATAGAAGTTAGGCGTATTCACGGCTACGGAATAATTCAACGGCTAAAACGATAGACCTTCGCCCTAAGGGTCAGGTTTCGCTGATGATTGTCCGAAAGTACGAGGGCTGTTCATTTAATTCGCAGACACGGGGAGGGGGACACCTGCCGTTTCCTGACCCTGTCCAAGGATTAAGCTCTCGTATATAATTTTTGGCCTGCTGCCTTACGTTACGTTCAATTTAACCAGGGTCTAAAACGTAGGCTAAAACGTTGCGTGAGCGTAGGCCTAAACTTGTCCTAAAGACCCTCCCCTGTTCAACCAAGAGAGAACCATTCTCTTTTTCGCGACGCAGACATCGATACCGAGTCAGTCTCAGCCGTCGAGAAAAAGTGGCCAAGCACCCTTTCTAAAATTTTACCTATCGCTTACCCAATTCGTTAAGTAACCAGTTCCAGAGTGTCTCAGACACAGTTCTGTTCATCGTGTCAAATAAGCGAACGGGAAAAAAATTGGACTGGAAGGGGGGACGAGTCGGAATGGCGATCTCCCTACACAAAAATTCGTGGAAATTTTTTCGAGTGGATAAAGATTCTAAGAAACTGTTCTTTGTCATGCAAATGTTAGCTTGAGTTCATTAGTTGCCAATGTGAGAAATGAAAGGAAAGAAGGGAGGAAGATACGGAAATTTAAAAGCAGGCTGCAAGCCAACCAAGTAGAAAGCAAGGCCCTGATCCATCACCAGTAGGACTGCAACAGTCAGCACTGCATGTTCAGCAGGCAGAAAAACTGGCACTCCTCTCATCCCAGGTGTATGAAAACTTAAAAGTTCCTCCTCGGTAAAATAGAATTTTACGACCTTTGGTTGAGAACAATGGATAAAGAAGCTAATTCCTGAATCACAACCAAGGTATGCTCAAGAATTCCTCTTGGAGGATTTCATGCTGGTATGTGTACATCTTACAGGAGTATTTCATGAAATATTCCATGAAAGGGAGATCAGGAAAATGCTGAAAAGTTGCTCTTCATTGGGGAAAATTTGAAGTATATGAAGTAGTGCTGATGAATCTTTAATATGGTTTTATGCTGAAATATCGGCAAATATCGTATCGGCTATCGGCTTCATATATTGGCCAATATCGGAATCGGCAAAATCCAGTATCGGTCGATCTCTAGTTTCTATACGACATTCTCCTCGCTATTCACAAAGAGAAAGCCTCGTATTCCCATTCCTAAATGCACCACAGTTGCAGATAAGCAAAAACCTGGAGCGTCTTCATCGAGCCACGTGGAAATTTCATCGTTGCATTCACTCGGTGTCGTAGAGCTGCAAGACGCACCACGGTCGAGTCTCTCGACAGTGCTTCCCCCTTCAGTTGAATACAGACAACAGTGGTTAAACTGAAGGAACCCAAAGGAGAATAACAATAGCCGGGGGTTCATGTCCAAGTCTCATCGCACTTCGCCATTATCGTCCATGACGGTAGACCAATAGTCGTGTAAAAGTTGGAAGATGTCTCAGATATCCAGCAGAAAAAGTGTCAGACTCCAGTCTCACAGATGTTGAACCGAAAAAAAGCAACACCGTATCGACCGTACTGTTCCTTAAGCGATCATCGAATACCCTATTCGGGGCGAAAAAAAGAATTTGCTTTGCATATAATCCGAAGTCGATGCAAACACCGATAAACCTTCGGAATATCGATGCCCTGACGCACACGAAGAACGCCAGTGAATCTAGAAATCGACAGGGACGGAAAAAAAAGCGCTTCCTCGCTCCACTATTTCCCAAGTTTTTTGAGACGAAAGGTAAGAAAGAGGAAATAAGGAACGGACAGAAAGGAGGCTCACCGGAGAGATGAACATGCCTTCCCGGTTCATCATCGGAGGCATAGAAACCTCTCTTGCGGTTTTTTCACACTCCAATTTCGATGGATCCAAGAGAGTGAAGCCAGTCTCAGTAAAGGCCATCGTGTTGCATGTGGAAGCATAAGGAAAGTCCTTTCCAGTGAAGTTCATCGCGTTGAGGAAGAAACGAGATTCCCCATGCATTCGCCAGGATGGCTCGAGAAACTTCTTTCCTCCTCGATTCCGGAAATACCACTCCTTTCCGTGAGCAGACAAATTGTCGCCGGACAAAATGTTGCGGACAAAATGTCGCCAAGAAAAAATATCACCGCTGAGAAAATGGTGGTTCTGGTGTTATATGGTTGGAGGTTGAACTGGGATAGGTATAGGGAGAAAGTTTGCTTCAGGAAAAAGCCGAGTAACAAGTACAAGCTAATATTCATTCAAAATAAGAAATCACATGAAGATATTCACAAAGTCCAAAAAAGGGGGAATCACATGACAGATAAAGTTCAGTCACAGGACATTAATGTTGACGACGCGTCCAACGTCAAACAAAAATTGTACAATATCCCGATTTGCAAAGTCAGCGACCATTGTACGGAGAGCCTCATTAATTTGTTGATACTTCTTCCGTTTCTTCGGAGGTGGTAGTCCCATTTCATACTGCCGATTTTTTACTGCGTGCAAATGTTGCTCTTTCTGCAACTTCTGAGCAAGGCGCGCAGTTGACGGATGGGCGATCCCAACAGAGTGATTGAATGCTTGGTGCCACCCCTCCAATGTGTTGTTGCTTCTTGGTAGGTCATCGAAAACACGGTGGTATTGGTTCCATAATGGAATGGGAAATCGGGGTGCGGCTCTTCGTCCTCTTCTAGGTCTTCCGATGTAATTGTCTTCGAAATAATCCAGAAGAGGATCCATTTCCCTGAAATCATTGCTGCCTATTAATTCTTCGTAGGCCGCAGCTACTTGGTCAGGTGGAACAAATGCCAACGCCGTCAAACACTTCACTCTTGAGGCGAAGTCGGCATCCGCGATGTATCTTCTTTGCAAACCATCCGCTTGAAGCCGTCTCCAGATGTTCTGCCCCAGATGAAAGTGACAGCCAGTCATGTCCACTCCAGGGAATGTCTCTTGGAAAGCGTTGATTGCCGCTAGCTCAAAGTCTGTGACCACTGTGGTAGGAGCACAACCAGGGACCAAGGTTAATACATGCTCCAGCAAACGTCTGTAATCTCTCTCTCTTCGTCCTGGTAGAAGCGCGTAAACACATGGATGGTTGACGTCACGCTGAAGAGCATGTATGGTGTAGAGCTGATCATGCTTCTCGGGAGTTACCTAAAAAAGAAATGGTATAATAATCTATTGCAAATAATATGAAAGAAAACACGATAATGTATTAAACTCGTGAGATACTCGAATTCTTGCGTCATGCTAATTGCATGAAATAATAAGTATGTAACTGTGAAGAACTTGGTTTATGAAGACTTCCTAACCTTGAATGTTCCATCTGCGAACCAGTGCTGACTTCGTCTCAAAATGTCAAGGTCAGTTGAAGCTGCGAACAGGAGGAAATCATCTTCCTTGACTCTCAGGAATTGTTCGCCGGTGATCGTGTTCGCAAAATGATCCACTTCCTTCTGACCAACTAAAGCTTTCTGTCTCTGACGGCGGATGTCACGGCTCAAAGTTTCTTGACTTGGTAACATATGAACCTTGTCAAGGGGAACAAGAGCTATGCCATGTTGAACGATATTTCTGGTGACTTCTTCAGTTTCTTTAGCCCGTCTTTTCATATCAGCGCGTACTTGATCAACTTCAGATCTACCATGGTCAGGTCCATGATTGTGTTCTCCTATAAAAGGAAAATTGGTTGTGAACTTTTCTTATGAATGCTTAAGAAAGGCTTAAGAAAAAGAGCATAATAGAAAAATAAATCCCAGCTATAAATTGGCAATCAAAAATTTTCATGAAGTATGTCTATTTTAGTCAATATACAGTATATATTTATTACATAGCTTATTATGTGTAGAACATCTGATTTCTTACTTATAGACTTCAGAAAACTATTTCCAGTTCTAACGCAAATACATTAGTTCAAAGCTCTCCGAATGGATAGATATGCAAAAATACTCTGCTCACCTGGTTCCTTCAGCACTTGATCTCCAAGAGTATGCATTCTTGCTTTACAAGTCCTGTTTTCACATCTCCAAATGATCTTCCCTTGAACACCATACTTCTCCCTCGTGAATCGGTAGTTTTGATGCAGCAACTTCTGCGTGTTCTTCTGTGTTTGAATCAACTCCATCTCGTCAGGGAATGGCACAGTAGGCAGATGAATTGAGTTATGAGTTGCAAATCCCCGCTTTTTTCCCCTCCCCTGCTATTTGGTTTCCTTATCTATTTTGAATGACCTTTT